ATTGGCGCAGTGGGTTAACGTGTCACAAGTTTTATTGCCGCAACGAACCATTATTTGTGTTTTCCACAATATTTTTTTTCTGTTCTATGTGTAAAATTATATTTATAAGAAGACACAAGAAAAAATGTGGAGTCTAATGTGGTCAACCCTGTTTTTAAATAGACTACATTAAAACGCATCACCAATAAAAATAAACTGGCCACAATAAAAAAAATATCGTTCCACATTCAAAAATCAAAGCGGCAAGCGGCCATATTTATTTATTCAGTTCACAGACTGCTGCAATATAATAAAGAGATAAAAGCGCGGCTAACCCGTATCGTCAAATATGACAGTCACTAGCCCAAACCCGCATGAAATTGAAATCTCCCAACGATAACTGGACTGTATAAAAGCCACTGAAAAGCCATATATTTTGCGAACGATATGAATTTATTGCACAAAATATTAAAGCTTTTGTTTTGAAAATATCACCGTTTGTGTGGTTTTAAGAATTAATGTTTTTGTGATACGCGTTACTTTCGCGACTATATTAATTAGAATTAATTTTAAAAGTACACATAATATTCCAGATATCACTATCGAAACATGAACTAAAACTAACCAAACTTATTTAACGAAACATCGTTGATATAAACTCCAGAAACTAGTTTATTATCTAAGTAAACAATATTGAAAAAAATGACGATCGCAGACTCCCTGTCGTGTACCTCAGTTGCCCTGTCAAGCTCACCCGTGCTTGGCTTTAAACAACAGTCCCCTACTCTATTATAAGCCAGATCGATAACCAGGACAAGGCTAGGCCTACTAGCATAACTATTTCTATGGAATAATACAACTTAGACTAAAACCCAGAACTTGGATGCGGGCGGAATGTGGAGTTGTAAACCTATGTTATAAATTGGTCTTTTGAGACGGGCGCATGATCTAAGTTTGAAGTTGGAATACATGTAGAATTGAGTTATTTTGAAGACCGATTACTGAAGCCAGGGTCTTGAGAAAGGTGATATGATTAAGGCGGGAATGTGTTTATATTTAACATTTTAGCTGAGCACTGGCCTTTTTGCATCGTGTACATTGTTCTGTTTTTTAAATTATTTGTCTTGTTTTTTTTTTGTAATGGTGCAAATAAACTGTTTTACTTTCTTTCTTCTTCTTCTTTCTAGATAATTGGGCAAGTTCGAATGTCATTAGGAAATATGAAGTAAGTAATTGGCAATAATTATGAGATCGGTGACAGATAACGATGTAGGACTTTTATCGTTATTTGCCCTAAACTAGGGGATGTAGCTTAGGCCATTTAGCCACTTTTAACTTTAATACATTAATAAAAATAAGTATGAAAGAGCTATGCTTCGCAACGAATGGGCCGACTCAAAGTCAAAGCATTTATTTCAATTAAACCAAAAGTTAAACTAAAAGTTTGGTACTTTTGAAACGTCAAAAAATACAAAATAAATAATAGTCTGTCAGTCAGTCCGTCAGTGAAACTAGGTGAAGCTAGGCTTGTTTACTCGACTGGAATAATACCACGGCCTTACAGAAAATCAAAGTAAAACAACAGTGAGGTTACCGGAGGCCCATTTCCACCCCCTTTCCCCCAATCTACCCATTCCCTGAATCCCGAACAATCCTCAAATTCCAAAACTCCAAAAGGCCAGTAACGCAATTGAAACACCTCTACTGTTTCGGGTGTCCATAGGCGGCGCCGATTGCTTTCCATCAGGGGATCCGTCTGCTCGTTTACTAACTTATCCTATGAAAAAAAAAACTATATATTCTTTGTAATAGAATCGAAAATCTATTGGTATACAATAATGTGCTAACACACTTTACAGTTGTTCTATTATTCCTATGGTTATGCATTGTGCATACCAGACTCCGGAAACCGTTTCAAAGTAATTACATGGAATTATATCAATGTTGGTTACTGTTTCATGTTAAAGATATCAAATGTGTCTATTTTGTTAAGTGGTATCGTGGTTATTGTATATATCTAATATTTATTCAATTGGAAAATCTCTTTGAAACGATAATGGAATGCGATGCGTTTGAAGATCAAAAAATCAATTTTGAAGAATTGCATTGTGTTTACTTTTGATGTCAATCTGTTATTTAGAAAACTAAGCGGAATCCTTTAATTTTTTTTAATCCTTTATTACTACTTACTTTTATTTTTTAAGGGGTAAAGCCATCGAATGACTGCTCCCGGCTGAGTGAGGCGGGAGGGACTGTCAGACTCTTACTGACTAAAAACCACCCTTTCCTTCTCCTGCACGTCGAGCTCCGGTTACCCGTTAGGTTCTCCGAGACTTATTTATTAGTACTTTCTAAGGAGCCGCTGCATGCAGTTCGCTTTCAAAAGGAATTCCTCCTTGGAGAGGCCCTTATTCAGCAGAGGACATTTAGTGGCTGATGTACCTAATAAACATAATGATTAAATAACAAAAATAAGTACGATTCAGTATTTATTCTCATCAAAATATTAAACGTAAAAGATAATTAATCACGAAATAATGAAACAGAATGAGCATCCAAACGATTTGTTTACTTCAGACTAAATCATCAGTTACAAGAAAATTATATTATACAAAAGCATAAATTGGTACTTATATCGTTCTAAATAAAGTCTGTTTTATATTTAATTTTAAACCGCAACACGTGTTATTCGTATGGCGGACTATAGGACCAAAACAATAATATTGTCGTTCTTTAGATTAATTCCAGTACTGAGAAGTGTGAATGAAAGCAAGGACGTGTATTGTTTTTTATATTGTTGGGATACTTTCCTTAATCAAAAATATATTATTTCGACTAACTCATACAATAAATTATTAAAAAAATAATTACACTTACATTAATTGATTTTATGACCAACTTAATTTTAGTATTTTTTCAGCATTTTTTTAAGAAATAAGTACGCTAAAATAGCGTGACGTCATATTTCACAATCTCGTACAAAATTCACAGAAAACTGTCGTTTTGGACGGCTCGAAAAAAGTATTACGTATTATAATTGTATGTATCATCTACACTGTGTCTTATATCTTATGTTTAATTTCCTTTTCCTGTCGCAGGGCTGCAGGAAGAAATCCCTTAAGGGATATGCAGTACCTATGTACCTCATGTTTGTAATGTGTTGTCCTTTGTAATATTGTCTGTGTGTACATGAAATGATAAATAAATAAATAACTTTACCTGCTGTATACGTATTCTACAGCAGAACTAAATAAACTTAGTAAAAATGTCACGACACCGAGTCTTAGTCATCGTGACACCGCCATTCGTAGCATTAGGAAAAAGGAAAATTAAAATTGTACGTGAGTAACCCGGTTAGGTTAAAACCCCGGTTAAATGTTCAGTAAACTAAACGAGTTTCTTTTTGCTTTTGTTTTTATAATAACTATCGTGAGACATACTAAATTAAGTAAAATCGCGGTTTACTCACGTGAATATACTGAGAAAAGCTCTACTAGTTTCGAATCACAGAGGGGTTCTTCCTCATGAGCAGCGTGCACGGTCGCGGCGACGTTGAGCTTTTCTCAGTATATTCACGTGAGTAACCCGCGATTTTACTTAATTGAGTTTCTTTTTTATTATATACATGGCTACATATCCAGCTATACAGAACCAGTTTATCCTAGTTTCACTTTATATAACCTTTCCACACATTCGAAGGTCAGTTTATACTGGTTCTGCATTGGTTGGTGTGAAATCGTGTGTGTACTCTACCATTTATGTGTCAAAAGTAACCCTTTATTAACCTCGATCGATCATAGAATAGGTGGGTAACCTACCAATTTGAATCAATTAATGTCATGTCCGACTAACATTGATTTTCCTTTCATTTGGACGTGAAAATTAATGGACCGGCCATTTCTGGTAGGGCTGGTACCAAATGGTGATGATAGAAGAACCTTTCTCTGGACATAAAATTTTATAGTACAGGATTAATTTTTAATGCTCGTTTAAATAATTACGATCACTGCGTGGATTATCCCATGCGTTAAAGTAGAAACTTAGAAAGAATAAGAGGTATAATTTAAAACATAACCTGTAGCTGTAGTCAAATGCCATTTAGCGCTTGTCTACATGTAGAATAGAAAACGAAATTATATGGAATTGACGTAAATTTTGACACTTGTCAGTGTCATCCCCGTACATTTAGTTTTCTACTATCTCTGTAGACAAGCGCTAAAGTAGCGTTTGGCTAAAGGCACTGGTTAGGATTAGTACAAATTCTGACGTTAATGTAGATGTGGTAAAACATTACATAGTATATTCTACGTCTTCCGAAGAGATGATCATCAGATGATATCGCCCCATTCAAAATCTTGAAAGCACTAGGTTTTTTCGATTGACTTATGATTCCTATCACTAGGCATATGACATTGTCACTACACGAGTGTCTCATACAAAATATCTACATATTAATGTGTTCGACATACTGCCAATACTACAGAATATTGGCAGTATATCTCACAACCGATCACTGAGATTGATAAATTTTTAAGAACCCTTACTCAGTTTCTTACATTCATAAATCCAGTTTACTTATACTTGTTCATCACTGCATTGTACACAGTGTACAGTGTATACTAAATATAGTACGCAGGTAAGGAAATAAAGATGGAATCTGTATAGCGACAGAAAACTTAAATTAACACTAAAATTTTGTATAACAATAGGTAGCTATTGTGTATTTATAAATCTTCACTTTCGAAGCTGTATGCTGAATAACTGTGCTAACTGTACACACTCAGATGTTTTTATTTAATATAAAGTACTATTCATACTTTATCTATGTTTAAGAGCCTTGATCTGCCTTGGGATGAGACCTACATTTAGCAAAAAGTATGTGTTAAAGGTGTCATTTGCAATATGCACCTCAACTACCTCAATAATAAATGATATTATACCCTAATGTGGATAATACTGGAATGTTAATTAAAATAAATAATTGATTTGCGCCCTTAACTATTCCTATTTAATTGTTGCAGGTGATAACAGCCAGTCGGTGCTTGGTCCTTTGTGCGGACAGCCGCAACGAGATGGAGTCATGGGCGGGCGCACTGCGTGGAGCGTTGCATCGCGGGGCAGATGTGGCCGACCTGGTGGCGAGACTGTCTTCCGGAGACCATCACTGGTAAGTCTTAGCCTCTAGCTAGAATATTGTTCTATGGTTTCATATGAACAGAGCATCACATTTCCTTATTTAAAGACCAATAATTCATTTGTGAATCATTCGTCTCTAAGGACCATTTTCTATTTTATATCCATCTACAAGTATCAGTTACATTTTTATTTGACCGTAAGGCTGACTTATTAAGCAATGACAACAACTTTTAATGCATTCTGGATACATACAAGATTATCCCAAAAATGTAATTATACAGAAGAGTGAATTTTAAGTACTTAAACCTCAAAATTAATCTAGATACCTACATGAAGAATAAATTACTTATATAAAATTAATTAATTTTACAAAGACACCACTGAAATTGCGACAGAACTAAAGTCTCCAATAAATTGTTGCGAATTGCATATTTCGTACGATTTTTGAGCTTACGGATTTAAGCCAGGATTAAGACGAAATTAAAGATTAATGAAACTTTTGCAGATTACTGAAGATATGCCTTAATTGAAAATTTTCATTAACTCAGCTGTTCGGATTTCTATTTTTGTAATGTAAACATAACACCAAGCCTTTCTTTAAACTTATGAAAAGATGTGTGTACTATATTTTTAACAAACTTTATTAACAAAATGGTTTCCCCAAATCTAAGCCCTGACAAATATATTCTACTCTGCCAGTAAATACGGAATCTCTTCCTCTTTCAACCTTCCAAGAAAAGATAGTATTCGCTTTTAAAAGGCTGGCAATACACCTGTGACTCCTTTGGTGTTTTGGGTCTCCATTGTCGTCGATGATCGCTTACCATCAGGTGATCCATCTGGTCTGGCCTAAGAGTACCTTATTAAGAGTTCTGCTACACATGCAGGGAACAATTTAAATTTGACTGTATAGTCATATTTCATATAGTCATACCTGTGTATATGCCATTACTTCTTTTAACCTTGACTTTAAACCACAACCATGGTCACGATGCTTATCGCCTCGTATTTTGTCAAATAGACCATAGTAATGTATTTGATTGATGGTATTTCCCAGTTGATATCCATAATATTCTTTATGGTTCTTTTATGTTGATTGATCGATCGTCTACAACTGGGTGTTTGGACGAGTAATCGATAGTGAAACTGTTAAATAAAAAATTATGGATATAAGTCTCGATCCAGAAAAATATGTAGTAGCTTATGACTATAAAATTGTCGGTAGTAGCGTGGAGTCTTAACCGGAATTTTCTTAACTGGGCTTTCCAACAGATTAAAAAGATAAAAGAGTAACGAATGGAGTTTCTTGCTCGTTCTTCTCCACTCGAATCTACATTTTGGAACGAGCACCTAGCTTCACTGACGGATAGACAAATGCCCGAAAACTGAAACGTTACTCAATTTTAAGTCGCGCTTAAGCATAGTTCCGTCTCTATAAGTTCTTAGTAAAATGACAGAGACGGCACGATATTTAAGCACGACTTAAAATTGAGTAACGTTTCAGTATTCCAGCATGAGAGACTATTATTTATTTAATATTTGTTGACGTTTCAAAAGTAACAAATTAATGGTGGTTTAATTGAAATAAATGCTTTTAAGTTTGACTTTTGAATTGTATGTCCAAACTGGAAATAAATTCTAAAATATGAATATTCCTCTGGCATAATAAGACTAGTTCCATATCACAAGTAAGCTTATTAACAATCATTCGATCAACGTGAAGCCATGACAGCTAAAAGCAAACACGGTGGCATTAACAATGTAATTAACACTGCTAATTAATTTCCCTCCCCTCTTAAGCCTAAGAGCTCTTTGACACAGACAGACATAAATATAGTTGATATATATGTGAATGTAAATACAGAAAATGTCTAAGGTGATTACGAGAGTGGCAATAAAAGATAAACAAGAAGAAGAAGAGATGGAAGGCAAAAACTAAATGAATAAAATAATGGAAATAAGACGTAAAGAGTAAATTGGATAAAGTGGAAAGATTTCTGCGTCCTAGGTCACGCATAGTGTGAAGTAACTGATTAAATAGGTTTCGAAAAAATGTATGCTCCATGGGTCGTGGAGAACCTAACGGGTTACCGGGGCTCCGGCTCGAAGTGTAGGAGTAGGAACGAGGTGGTTTATAGTCAATAAGAGTCTGACACTCCCTCCCGCCTCACCCAGGCGGGAGCAGTCATATGATGATTTCCTCCCTTAAAAATGGGTGTTATCCTGCATTATAAACGGCTGTGCTGTACCTAATATGTAGCGAGTTTGATATTTAATAGACTTTATATACCCAATAATACTTTGCCCAACTTTATCTTCAGCAATTATACTTCCGACGACATGAGTAACACATTTATCAAATTAAAACATTTAATTATACAAATGCTCAACAGACAAACGTATAGTTGCATTTTATTGTATGTAACGAAGCGTGTGACATGATGGTTGCAACGCAATTATATTCGTCGGCCGTATGCGGCCCGGAGCGACGTCTATACGGCGACGTTATGGCGTCGGAGCGGCGGCGGCGTACCGCATCGGAAACGCAATTATTCCGTGCACCGCACCGCGTGAATCCATTCTGAATCGAGTTTAATCCGTTCACTAGTAAAACTGCTTTATTTTTTGGTCTATTCCACTGTTATGGCCATTTTGTGTTTGAAAAAACTTCAAGTTTTGATTCCATAATTGTTATTAAATTGTGTTTGGTGCTCTTATGTGTGTAAACTGCTGAACCGATTCCGATAAATGTTTTAATGCTTAATTGATGAAACTGTACCGCGAGTTAAACTGCCGATGCTTAACTGATTAACGCTAATAGAATTTTATTTGTTATCCATGTCAAATATCTTTTAAGATGAATCTTTAATCTACCAACTGGGCAACCAATATCGACACAAATTCCACAAACAAACACCCTCTTTGTCTTTACCCACATAAAGCATAGCTCGCAAATAAATTCGAGTTGAAAATTGTAATAACGAACGAACTAAAAACTTAGCGCCGAGGCTGTGTCAAACAACTGCTCGTGTTTCTGGTTTGTGGCGCAAATATTTCAAAGCTTTGTAACATCCAGCGCAACATTGAACCAACTTTTGAAATCAACAACAAAATGCGTCGTATGTTCTGTGAAAAAATCTCTAGCTTTCGTATGGAAGCTGTGTGTTTAAATGTAAACTGTCAAACACCGCGAGGTCACCGGTGAACGCAACCTATTGTTCTTTAATTGTGTCTATGAGTAGCAGTTTTCGGCGCTTCGATTTTCACAGAAATACAACGCACTTTAGGACTCACATAAGTGACAAAAATGGATATTATAGGCAATGAACATTGTTAATCGGAAAATGCAAGTTGCATTTACAAAGTTAAAAGTATTTTAGTTCATTTTCTTTATTGCCTGCTACTTAAAGAAGTCCACTACAGTAGGCATAAGCCTCTTTCGAAGTATGTTACTTATTCAGTTCTTTTCCAGGTATGCGGCAACACACGCGCGTCCTACGTTCTGCAACGTGTGCAGGGAGCCACTGGGCGCGCTCGGCACGGCTCACGCGCTTGCTTGCGAACTCTGCAAGTTCAAGGCACACAAACGATGCGCGTCTCGGGCGCCGCCATCTTGCAAATGGAGCACGCTTGCATCACTAGGACCGCACGTCGTCGAAGATGCTGATGGGGTAAGTTTAAACAAAGAATTCGTTTTTTGTTTCTCTTTTTGAATAAGAAAGGAACTTCAGTTAGGAAGTAAAGACATATTTGGCGCGTCAGTTCGGAAGAACTTCACGTAGCTATGGTTGACACAGTAGCAGTCAAAGGCTCGTGTACTAATTCAGGAAAAAGAAGTCCTAATGGTTTATCTTAATAGGGTAGATTATTAAAAACATTAGACACGTATTTTTATTTTCTTACAGAAACGAATAGTTTCGAAGATATATTGATTTTAAATATCGCATGACGTTCCTTTTGAGTAAGATTTATACACTAAAACGACGTAGCTACCTCCCACTCCTTAACTTTGATTCGTTTTATCTCAGTATTGTTTTCTTATACGACAAAAAAATATACGTGTCTAATATTTTTTCATTTCCTAACTGATGGTTTAATCAGAATTTTAATTTTTATACCCTGTCAACATTCCTATTCATATGACTAGTATCATGAATCATGGACAAGACGGAGTCTGTTAAAGAAAGAAAGGTTTAAAATGGCTTGATATCATGTGTTAAAAATTCCCGTAATATGTCTTTTCTTACACACACGTGAATAATATATCGGGTGTCACTGTGAACACACGTTTCACGACATATGTCGTTAAACAAACTGGAAGCTTTTTACAATAATTGTGTTGTAGACCCAAAATACTAGTTTCGGAGCATTTTTTCAGAAAGCCTCCTTGGTCAAGTTGGTTAAGGTTCCAATTGAGTTTTTAGCAGTAGGATTCCTAATACAATAAGAATACACAAATAGATCAAATTAATATTTACATATTATGTTATGATTGGTTTACTAATTGCAAACCACAGATAACATTATGTAATGTGACGTTTATTGTTAACTGTCAGTGTCACTCCGTTCACTTGTGTTGTCTATGTTCTTTTCTTATACATCCGCCCTGTTCCGTTAATATAGTTCTGTCGCTAGTCCAGGAATTACCTTTAATCATTATATTGAACATTGAGATATGTCTACTAGCTAACCTTAGACTGAAATTAAACTTTAGTACCAACATTCTACTGTCGAAAATCAATTGGTTTCTCCTTTAATTGGTATGCTTCAGTACAGTCGGACAACGGCTTTGTGCTGCCTGTTAAGGTTGCAAGCTGCTTGTGATTGGTCAACAGCATGTTAATAGTTGCCTTTAACGTTTATTCTGGTCATACAATACATGGCAAGTTTAAATTAACAACCCTTGACTTGCTTTCAAATGTTAGAATTTCTGACTTCGGTTAGGTTTAGAACATTTGTAATCAATCTATTTCTAACCAACAAGTTTGAGGTTACACATATGTTTATGATTGAGTGAATATATGGCATATGACTGCAATAGTGCTGATAAAACATAACATCAAATATAACATCACGCCTTTCTTCCCCGAAGGGGTAGGCAGAGGTGCACATTACGACACTTAATGCCACTATACAATGTAACACCCACTTTTCACTATTTATGTTATGAGTCCCATGTAATAGGGGGTGAGCCTATTGCCATATTATTATACGGGGCACAAGCACGATCTCCGGGGAGGATCTCTCCCTCACACAATTAAACCTCGTTCATGGCATGTGAATTTATTAAGATGGCTACTCCGCGCGCTTCAGAAGGAGTGTCACAGAATGGCAGGACAACTAAATATCTCTACTAATGGATACTATCACCTCTTAAAGGATTTAAGTCGACTTACCCTGTAACCCTGTATAATCGACATATGATTTACCATACTTGGTAACTCATTGTAAAAAAATTTAAACTTCGTACTAGCTAAAACGTAGATAATTAGGTTTCATGAAAATTCACGTCAAAAAATACAACAAACGTCGGTTACATTATACTATGAATACTAAATAGTTTAAAACTGGAGCACTGCACATCAGCTTATGAATAAATTTCAAAGCCTTGCGGAGTAATAATGAGATAAGTTTGCAGCATGCGACACTCATGTAAGCGGGGACCCTTTGTGACAACAATAACTATCATAATATTGCACGTGGACCCCTGTTGTAATGGAGTTTATAAAAATAGGAAATTGCGGTGAGTAAGCCCCTGAAGGGGTAAGTAACAATATTTATGAAATATACAATGTATGTTACACCTTTCTCAAGTCCCATGTAATTTAACGTATTGCCAATTTGCCAAACAATTTTAGATTTTAAATAACGCAATACTTTACACTTAGGTATTAAGAGCCCGCTTCTCATGCATGAGGGTGCGAGTTCGAAACCTACTACTGCAAGTACCAATGTGACATTTCCCGAGTCATATGTATGTACTTTCTAAGATTATCTAGACACCACTGATAAACAGTGAAGGAAAACATCGTGAGGAAACCTGGACTTATAATTTACTAGCGACCCGCCCCGGCTTCGCACGGGTGCAATATGTATATACATACAAACCTTCCTTAAGAATCACTCTATCTATTAAAAAAAACCGCATCAAAATCCGTTGCGTAGTTTTAAAGATCTAAGCATACATACGGACATACAGCGAAAGCGACTTTGTTTTATACTATGTATTGATTGATAATAATAATTATAAACTTAAAATTGCATTGAGCAAGCATGGTGATTAATGTTAAAACGTACATACACACATACATAACTTCACGCCTGTCTCCCATGGCAGACAGAGAGGGAACGCCAATTACTACGTTCCCTACATACCTCTTTCACTTCATTAACAGTCATCTTTTCATGCATGCTCGTCGGTTAAGGGTACTTTTAATTTGGCCCAACCGTCTCGCTGCGAAAATAGGTCTTTGGTCAACAGTGGCCATTTATAAACCGTTGATGATAAATTATTTATCCAACCTTTAAACCAGCAACTCTTTGCTCAACAGTTGCACTAATAAGGAACAAGATAATTTGACGAACGTACACATTTCGAAAACTTCAGTTTGATTTCGGTAAGTAGGTCATGTCTCACAGGTCGGCTGGTTAGGAGAGTGACCGCAACTAATCAACTAATGCCCTCCTCTACCCTCCTCCCCTCCCTGCTCACTGATATGTAGTTGGACACGGAACCAATACCTCGACTGTATAATAAATCATCAGAATGCGAATGGGAGATATTAGGCAAGGGAAAATGTGTTGTGTTCTAATGTATTTATGTTTGTGTTTTGCGTGCAATGAAAAGAAATAAATGGTGGTAAATCTAGACCTTAATTGGACCCTGTTAAGCAGAAAAGATCCAGCCCACATGTTATTACTTTTGAGTAAATGAAGTTTAATGTTGGGTAGATAATACCTCTATACCTATTGAATAGGTACTGTATCATATGATTATGATTACACCAGCCTATCCCTTCGGGGATAAAAGGCGTGATGTTATGGTATGTTATCATATGATTACTCTGTTGAATGTGGGCTGGATGTTTTCTGCTTTACAGGGTCCAATTTTAGAAGCCATGTTGCAGTCTTAAGATTATTTCATCATCATCACTAGCCTGTAATTGTCGTCCACTGCTGGACATAAGCCTCTCCAATGGCACGCCACTGCGCTCGATCTTCAGCTCTACACATCCAACCACTAATTATTCTTATTAGTCTTTAATTATTTCACCAACTCTAAGGCTGCAGGGGATTTAAAAATCAAGGAATCTAATCATTATAAGATTCTTTTCATTTATTATCCGAATCTCCTCTACGTATATCTATAGATAATATTATGTCTACAAGTTCATCCAATTCAGTAATTCACTGAGGGAAGTGGATACTATAGTTTTTTCTTCTTCTCTTATAATATCTCCTGTCTGATTTCGTTGCGGGAACCAAGACAGTTATTCGTGTCCCTGGGACGCGCCGTACTTCAGTGTTCCGATGTTTTCATGTTGTATCTACTGTAGATCCTGGCTTACAGGAGTTGTAGAGGTTTTTACAGTCTGTGGTGGGATTTTCTCATTTAAAAAACAATCTATAAGTTCAATGTAAAAAAATTAAAATATGTGAAAACAAAGCCGAATCTCACCAATATTTTACAGAATACAACACAACGAAATACCCTTTCATTACCATCATATAAGTTTTACAGAACAATATAATAGCCGCGGTTTTTATTACTCGTCTGAGGCGTAATAAAGAACCTGCGATCCTAAATACACTCGGAACCCCTAGCAATCTGCTCCTAATACCAGCATCAAAAGATCGATCCACCCTGCCTTTGATTAAGGACTTTGATCAATGGATATGCGTATAACTTTCTCAATGTACCTTTGTAAAGTGTTCTATAGGCAAAGGTGCATTTACGGCACTTACTGAGACTGTACAATGTAACACCCACTTTTCACTATTTATATTATGAGTCCCATATAATAGGAGGTGAGCCTATTGCCATATACCGGGCACAATTCCAGACTCCGTGCTACTACTGAGATTCTATCCAGTAATACTTTGTGTTACCGCGTGTCGTCGAGTGGTTGCAAGTGCGACTGCCGGGCAAGGGGTCTCGGGTTCGTTTCCCAGGTCGAGCAAAGTATTACTGGGTTTTTAAAAAAATCGTTGATCATAAATCTCTAAGCACAACAGTATATAAATATACTGTTTGAATGTATGATATATACAACTGTCATAACAATACATTGTACACACTAAATGAGTGATTACGTACATTCAGTGGTTCTCAAACAGTTTTATTAATAACTATATCCAATAAAATCTATAGATCGACACAAAATCTTACTAATATAATATTTTTATGGGATAAGCCGGGAAAAGAGCAGACAGATCATGATGATTGGTATTTTCAGATGTTAGCACATTATTGTATACCAATAGATTTTCGATTCTATTACAAAGAATATATAGTTTTTTTTTTCATAGGATAAATCAGTAAAAGAGCAGACGGATCCCCTGATGGTAAGCAATATCGGCGTCGCCAATGGACACCCGGAACTCCAGAGGCGTTACAAGTGCGTTACCGGCCATTAAGAGATTGGGAATTTTAGGATTGCTGGGGATGCAGGGATTGGGAAGATTGGTGAAGCAGGGGGAAGGGTAATTGGACCTCCGGTTACACGTTGGTTTTCTGAGAGGCCGTGGTACCCGGTCGAGCCGGCCCATTCGTGCCGAAGCATGGCTCTCCCACACTTAAATACGAAAGTTTTTGAATTTGTATGTGAAGCGCCTGAACACACAGTTTAACAACAAATCTATACAAAATCTGTTACCTAATTACCACTGTTACTATACGAGATATCATTGATTCTTATTAACTCGTCGAGTACCGTCATTATAGACACAATTATAGAACAATAGGTTGCGGTCACCGGTGACCGCTTGGTGTTTGACAGTTTAATTTGCTTGAATAAAGTGCTTACTTTTAAGTCCATACACAGTTTATGAACTCAAGACACCTCTAAAACTTTGGGAATCTTAGCTTATGAACACTAACAAACATCAAACTCAAACTTTGTTGACTTACTATCAAAGTTCCATTCGCAGACTTCGTTTAAAACAATAAGCATTTAGTTTTCATGATTATTCCACTTAATTAAACTCGGGTTGGGTTCGTTTCGAACTCAAGTTGTTCATATGTCCAGAGGCCATGTTTGTAGTTCTTAAGTTAAATAATAAGAACTGGTATTTATTTTAAGTGATTGGTTGTGTAATTTACTTTTGTTTGTTTGTTCGTATGTTTTGTTTTATTATAAGGGACCGTGGGTACCTAACATAATATTAATTCATGTTTATGTAGGAGTTTAGTTAGGCAACTTGGTATCCAATTTTTGGAGACCCTTAGCCCGCGTGGCGTGCTCTTTTTTCATGTAATCCCATAGATCAGCGCTGCATGCAGCGGTTCGCTCGCGGGCGCCCGCGCCGTGCGCACGCCTACCTAAGGGTGCAGTTTCATTGAGGCGGAGCGGAGAAGAGCTGTGCCACGATTCACCAATCACATGGCTTGAAATCGACATCTTTTCTCCACTCCGCTAAATTGGTTGTAGTTGCACAGCTCTTCTCCGCTCTGCTCAGCTCCGTCTCAATGGAACTGCACCCTAACGCAGCGCACGGCCTTAGTTGCAAAAGCAACTTTTGTCAATTTCAAAATGCCGGGCAAACGTTTGAATCTGTGAACGGTGGTGCTAACCCTTTAGAATCAGGTGATCTATTTGTTAGTTTGCGCCTTATTACATAGGTAGGTCTTCTGATTTGACAACTTAACATAACATCACACCTTTTAGCCCCGAAGGGGTAGGCAGAGGTGCACTTTACGGCACTTAATGCCACTGTACAATCTAACACCCACTTTTCACTGTAACACAACACACACACACACACACACACACACACACATACACACACACACACACCCTCACACACGAGTCCCATGTAATAGGGGGTGAGTCTATTGAAGACAATAAGCTCATCCCTCTATGGGTACATGAGTATATGGGTATATAAAATATGAATACCAAGCACATCCTCCAGATTCTATGCTACTTTAAAAAAAAAAAAACCAGTGTAACTTTGCTCATCCCAGCAGTCGCACTTGCGACCACTCGGTCAACGAGGCAGCCAGGGAATATCTGACATTACTCACATTATCATCGTCATTGTCAGCCATTTCCAGTTCACGCAATGAGAGCAACTAGAATAGCATAGAGACAGACAAGACCCATTCCTAAAATTCAAACAAACTGAACTACTTAGATAAACTTGGGTCTGTTGTACAAAAACAGTACCTTGATACCATCTCGAGATAAATTTCACACGAAATTCTTAAAACAAGCCGACAAAAATAATATCAACAGTTACCCGAAAGAATAACACGAATTCAAAGCACTGACAACAATGTAAAACAATTTCCAAAAGCCAAGAAAACTCCGGACTAAAGTATTTGATTCATGCCAAGAATTCCTTTTTTCGTCCAAAGCTTTACATTCGCGTAGAATTCTACTAATTTCCAGCTATTCAGAATTTTCGCTTCGTCACTCCGCTCTGGACGTCTCGAACTTTTTTAATAGGGCCTTTGTCACAGATTTTTTATTGTTAAACATATCGTGGTTTTTAATTCCTGTTACTAGTCGATTTTAGCTTTTTAATTAAACTTGTTATTACTGCGGTTATTTTAATATTCTCAGTTACTACTGAGCTACTACACGGAGTCTCGAAATATGTCCGGTATATGGCAACAAGCTCATCCCCTATTACATAGGACTCATAACATAAATAATGAAACCGGAGTGTTACATTGTACTGTGGCATTAAGTGCCGTAATGTGCACCTCTGTCTACCTCTTCTGGGATTAAAGGCGTGATGTTATGTTATGTTTAATATTGTGTATATGTTATTAAACTTGGCAATGGTAAATTTACATCATTTAAAAGCTTTTTTTAGATCGCGTATGCTCTGATGTAAGTAAATATTAACTTGTAATCTCCTCATTTGAGATCGCAAATTCTATAAAAACAATTCATAGTTTTCAAACGTTTCTGATTAGGTAATTATAATAAATAAAAAACATCTGACAAGATTTTTTTCATGATTTCTTGAAGACAATTGTAATTAATATTCGGAGATGGCTTCATAACTAAAATCACTAAAGACACATTCGAAAGAACAACAATTTCCTCTAAAATACGGACGGAAATGCTAACAGCTAGTTTATTTAATCTCCTGAGACTTGCTCGGTAAGCTTGAATCTCAATTAGGTTTATAGGTACTCTACTATCGTCCGTACCAATGTTCCTTGAAGACTAGTCTTAATACTACTGAAGAAGTGAAATATCTGCTGATAAAACATTGCTTAAACTTAACTACTGAAGTTGTTTATTCTCGGAAATAATCTTTTGATTAATTGTATGTTATTCGATGATCTTTGCAATGAAACTGCCTAAGACTGTAACCAGACGAATCACATTTTACCTGCAATCTAACTGCAAATTGCAGTTTGACACGACTGCAATAGAACTGCAATCGGACTGCTCGTTTGGTCTTTGCTCATGACTGCAATATAACTGCAATCAGACTGCATTTTTGGTTTGCAGTTTTGGGTAGTAGACTAAATTTTTATTGTAATGTCCGTCTGGTAGATTATTTTAAAACATTAGACACACGTATTTTTTCTTTTCTAACAAAATTAAATACTTTCGACGATATATTGATTTGAAATATCGTGTGACGTCACGATTTACTATATTTTCTAGGGTAGAGTGACGTAACGACCTCCCATTCCTAAACTTAACTCCATTTTATCTAAGTATTGTTTTCTTATACGACAAAATAAAAGAATATGTTTCTTATATTTTATCATTATCTAACTGACGGACTAACTTTTTAATTTTGATACATAGCTGTCTGCTACCGTATTGCAATCGTGACACAACTGCAACTGAACTGCAAATTGCAGTTCAAATGCGGTCCGTTTGTCTAGAGCCTGTTAACTAAAATGTAACTGTATATCGTTGATGGGAAATCATATTCTGCTTTGTATTTTTACTGGGATTTTTTTACGGGGTGAAGATCATCGAATGACTGCTCCCGCCTGGGTGAGGCGGGAGTGAGTGTCAGACTCTTACTGACTAAAAACCACCCCGTTCCTTCTCCTGCACGTCGAGCCGGAGCCCCGGTTACCCGTTAGGTTCTCCGCGACATTTTTTCTGGGAATAGCACGCGTAATGTTATGATATAATATTATAATTATGAAGTATTTAATTAGATTTTAGTGATATTAGCATTGCATATTATTATATGCATGTGTTAATATGTTTTAATATATGTATATCTCTTGTTCCAGAATATAATAATGCCCCACCAATGGTTGGAGGGCAACCTTCCCGTCGCAGCCAAGTGTGACGTCTGCGACAAGACCTGCGGTTCGGTGCTCAGGTGAGGCTCTTAAAATATTTTACTATAAAGCTAGCATAACTAGACTGGCTGCTGCGACAAGTCTTACACGTTCAGTTTCCGAGTGAAGTAACGATTATAAGAGTAATCTATAGATTTTCTTTCCAAGTATGGATGGGATGTATATATGAAAAAATTTGCAAACGCTACCAAACATAAGCAAATTCTAGTTGTTCGTTTAAAATTAAACTTAATACGTATATTATTATAGTTCGATTTAGTTATTCCTATTGCGGATCGCCGTAGTATGGTTGGCTGCGACCAATCTACAGTTTGTTATGCGTTGCATCTACTTATATTTGTAGAGGTATATTATGATTTTGTAGTGTCCCGCAATGCGGCTATTCTGTACTATGTTGTGGTGGTCGGTTTCTGAGATCTATAGATAGTTAGATATTTCAAGTATACAAGCATTGAACGTTTCACCGCAACGTCCAGCTTTACATGGATGCTTATAGTATCCTCTATAAGTATTTTTTTATTTATTAATTTGTTTTGTTCTATCAAGTTGAAATTTATAAAAAAAGTCTTTCGAAACGGAGTCTTTACACTATACCTCTACGTTTAAGTGATATTTTGTGGTCTATTTACTGAATATTTTAGTATCAATATTAACTCGTCGAGTACCGGTTTTGTAGACACAATTATAGAACAATAGGTTGCGGTCACCGGTGACCGCTTGGTGTTTGACAGTTTAATGGGTCAATGTACCTACTTAAAAATTATAAATATAATTATATAACATAACGCCTTTTTATCCTAGGCAGAGGTGCACATTACGGCACTTAATGCCATTGTACAATGTAAAAACCAATTTTCACCATTTATGTTATGTGCCCCATGTAATAGGGGGTGAGCCTATTACCATATACCGGGAACAATTGCAAACTCCGTGCTACTACTGAGAATTAAAAAAAAAATACAATAATACCCGGCAGTCGCACTTGCGACCGCTCAACCAATGAGGCAGTATTACAAATATTTCAGTGCGTAATTCACTGACAGACAACCAAATTAATAAAATGAAAAGTCTTACATTTCAATATCATTTTAAATAATAATCCTTTCAAAGGAAGTCGTACCACAGCTCTAGATATCCGCAAATCCGCGCTTCATCCGCGTATTACCGGAGCGCGGATATCTCGGCGAATTCTTGCAACCCTATAAGGAAATGTCGAATGGTGTTCAATCAAATGACATTGACTCTTATCCATAAATATGACGTCATAATATTGTGGAGTTTATTCAGTTTGTCTATACGCTGATGTTCAGATTAAACGTCTGATATTATTGGTGAAAAAATAATGGATTTTGCGAAAATAAGAATGATAATCGAGGTACTTCCTCGACTGCCTCATTGGCCGAGAGGTCGCAACTGCGACTGCCGGGACAGGGGTCTTGGGTTCAATTCCCGGGTCAAGCATTACGGACAAGGTATTAATGGGTTTTAAAAAAAATCTTAGTACTAGCACGGAGTCTGGAATTGTGCCCGGTATATGGCAATAGGCTCACCCCCTATTACATGGGACTCATAAAATAAATAGTGAAAAGTGGGTGTTACATTGTACAGTGGCATAATGTGCATCACTGCCTACCACTTCGGGGATAAAAGGCGTGACGTTATGATGTTATGTTAATATTGAAATGAAAAATGTGTAATAAAATAATACACCAGTGATATTTTCTTCAATGCCTTTCTGTAGGCTTAATTTAAGCGCTAAGTACTCAAAGTAGCAACTTCAGCTTGATTAGACACGCAGCGCTATAAATCGCTTTAAAGCGCTTGATCCTATATTTGACTTTGAACCATTCAAGTGTGACGCGTTAAGCAAATTGCTTAATTTAATTAGATTTGTAAACTCCAGAGTTTGCAAAGTATATGTAGGTGTAGCTCGTTCCAACAACTTCTTCATATATTCGATGTGTCGATACTAAATGTGAGTTTGTCGATGTAATTACTGACTCACCTATAGGATATTTTAATTTTGTGAGAGTTTTCAGGTATTTGTTTATCTGGGGTTTCTAAGTGACTGCCTCGTTGGCCGAGTGGTCGCAAGTGCGACTGCCAGGCAAGGGGTCTCGTACCGAATCCCGGGTCGGGCAAAGTATAACTGGGATTTAAAAAAATCTCAGTAGTAGCATGGAGTCTGGAAATGTGCCCGGTATATGGCAATAGGCTCACCTCCTATTACATGGGACTCATAACATAAATAGTGAAAAGTGGGTGTTACTTCTGTGTGCATCTCTGCCTACCCCTTCGGGGATAAAAGGCGTGATATTATGTTATTGGGAAGAGGAGTACCTCTGCCTACCCCTTCGGGTATAAAAGGCGTGATGTTATATTATGTAAGTATTTATTATACCCAGTAAATAACTAGCCAGTACTTAAAGAGGCGTCTCCTCTTAGCCTAATCCAGCGTAACGCCCATAACTATCATATAAGATTTATTTAATTGTTGGAAATTGATTAATGTGCTATCAAAGTGAGTGATAGCGATAGACCAGCCTTACTTTATACTTAGTGATACCATCCATCACTCATACTTTTACTTATATTTAATATGTGTAATGTTCCTGGCAGTTCTTATTAAAGACGTGTATTCATTTAACTGAGTGATCTGTTTCATCTGTTTCTATAATAGGTATTTTTGTGTTATTTGAAGACCCTTATTGGCCTACCTCATTAGCCGAGTGGTTGCAAGTGCGATTGCCGGGCAAGGGGCCTCGGGTTCGATTCCCGGGTTGGGCAAAGTATTACTGGGTTTTAAAAACATTCTCAGTAGTAGCACGGAGTCTGGAATTGTGCCCGGTATATGGCAATAGGCTCACCGTATTACATGGGACTTATAACATAAATAGTGAAAAGTGGGTGTTACATTGTAGTGGCATAATGTGCACCTCTGCCTACCCCTTCGGGGATAAAAGGCGTGATGTTATGTTACCCCATTTCCAAAATCTTAAATTAATTCTTCTGATTACCTATGCTGTGTTTACTGCTTTTATGATAAATCTGTCTCTGGTAATTTATTCACAAGTCAAAACGCAATGCTTGTGTTTTTTCACGCCAGTTTTCTGTACGGCTGCGGTATCACTCCGGTCGAGCCGGTTCATTTGTGAAGCAAGAGTTTGTAACTTGGGTCAAAAATGGGATTTAAACATTTAAATCACCATCACCACACAATTAACTGTTACGAAATACTGCTATTAAAGTGAGTAGTAAGTAGGTTGAATAACTAAAGATAATACAATTTTAAACTCTTATAAGTGTGGGAGAGCCATGCTTCGGCACGAATGGGCCGGCTCGACCGGAGTGATACCACGGCCTCACAGAAAACCTACGTGAAACAACGCTTATGTAGTGTTTCGTCGAGTAAGTGAGGTTACCGGAGGTCCAATTATCCCCCCCCCCCCTTCTCAATCTCACCAATCCCAACAATCCTCAAATTCTTAATCCCTAAAAGGGCGGTAACGCACTTTTAAAGGCTCTAGTATTCCGGGTATCCTTGCTTGCTTGCTATTGCTTGATCCGTCTGCTCGTTTACCGACTTATCCAATAAAAAAAAACTCTAAATTATCTAAAGCTACAACTAATAATAACAAAAACTAACTCCATAAACCTTGACCTCAGACAAATTTGCATTCTCAAACGAGATATAAAGACTTACATTGGTAATATAATGGCTACGCTAAGCCTTAGAGTGTCCTGTGGGAAAATCCCGGGATTGTTCGGAAAAGAACATCGCTCGGCCATTTTGCGAGAAGTCCCGAGAAATTGAAACAACTGAGCTTCAGTACTTATCTCTAGGACGAAAGGATTTCGGGGTAGTTCTCGTGATGGTTTTTATAGGATGCGTTTTATAAGGACATAACATAACATTACACCTTTTTATCCCGAAGGGGTAGGCAGAGGTGCACATTACGGCACTTAATGCCACTGTACAATGTAACACCCACTTTTCAGTATTTATGTTATGAGTCCCATGTAATAGGGCGTGAGCCTATTGCCATATATCGGGCACAGTTCCAAACTCCGTGCTACTACTGAGATTTTTAAAAATCCAGTAATACTTTGGCCGACCCGGGAATCGAACCCGAGACCCCTTGCCCGGCAGTCGCACTTGCGACCACTCAGCCAACGAGGCAAGGTTTTAAAAGGAAATATGTGTAATATGGCAATTAGAATTAGTCTTTTTTAATTTAGTTACTTTTCATGAGTTTTAAAAATATCTGAGTGTCATCATCATCAACAGCCTATAAATGCCCACTGTTGAGCAAAACCTCTTCTCACATTGAGAAGGTTTGAGCATTAATCACCACGCTTGCTTAATGCGGGTTGGCGATTACAAACTTATAATTAGAAATTATAAGCCCAGATTTCCTCAAGATGTTTTCCTTCACCGTTTGTGAGTGGTGTCTAGATAATCTTAGAAAATAATATTAATGATAATATGTGGTCTTCCCTTCCTATCTAGGATTACTTAAACCCTGCCTTGTATAACCGATAGATGCCTGAATAATTTTGCTTTCCTTCTTCTCACCGATGAACTCGCAAAGAAAATAGGGTAGATGACTCATTTTTATTTTAATGTCCGTCTGGTAGGATATTTTAAAATATTACACACGTATTTTTTATTTATTTACAGAAACGAATACTTTCGACGATATATGGATTTCAAATATCGCGTGACGTCACTTCTATGTACCTACATTTTATACGTGGAAATGACGTTTTAGCCCCCACTCCTAAACTTTGATTCGTTATATCTAAGTATCATTTTATTAAACATCGAAATAAAAAAATACGTGTCTAATATTTTTTTATTACCTTACTGACGGACTAATTAGATTTTTAATTTTCATACCCTGTCATCATCCCTATTGCCATAGACTACAAACTCGGAATCGGAATTTGTAGTATTAATCACTACATTTTTCGTTTTATAATGGGTTTCTAATGCCATGGAGTCTAGACTTCTTTCTCTTATCACAAAGAATTATAAGCCCTATTACAACACAAATACAAACAAATCACCCCACATACGTTAGTAGTTTTGATCAAGAAAAAGTTAGGGGTCAATATACGAACGGACACGATTCTTGCGTCCTACAAGTTGTGATGGCCAAACAAAGGGGAATAGGGGCTGCCCTAATGAATGTAACTCCATGTATGATCTAGCAAAACTTTTGTTAGAGTTTGCCACGAGTTTCCGACGGCCTTATTGGGGTTTGGGATCGGGAAAAGAGATAGGTTTAACTGATTTTGTCTTCGTCTGGCAGGAGATTTACGCCTGAATACCGAGATGTTACTTAATATTGTACTTAAATATTGCGCTATATCTGTCGTTTTAATAAAGTATTTACAGTGATAGAAATACTTTTAAGAGTGTCTAAAAAACGTCATAGAAGATTTTTTGTTTTATATATTACTGTTGTAATAATTTAAGTGTGGGAGAGCCATGCTTCGGCACGAATGGGCTGGCTCGACCGGAGTGATACCACGGCCTCACAGAAAACAGAAAACCGACGTGAAACACGACGTGAAAAACGTCTGCGTTGTGTTTCGTCGTATGAGAGAGGTTACCGGAGGCCCAATTTATCCCTCCCTATCCCAACGGCGTCGCCCATGGACACACGAGAGGCGTTACAAATGCGTTACCAGCATTTTGGGGATTAGGAGTTTGAGGATCGTTGGGGATTCAGGGATTGGGGAGATTGGGGAAGGGGAGGGTAATTGGGACTCCGCTAACCTCACTCACACGACGAAACACAACGCAAGCGTTGCTTCACGTCGGTTTTCTGTGAGGCCGTGGTATCACTCCGGTCGAGCCGGTCCGTTCGTGCCGAAACATGGCTCTCCCACACTTAAACGTGCCAAAGGTTCGCCATTCCTGTCCTAGAACTACGTCTTTGCCAGTAAAGCACTTGGAATTTTTATTTGAACTCGGTCGGAATTGAATTGATATTGATATCAGCCGTGGACTGAATCGGGCATCGAATCGTCTAACTCGTTTTTCCCCAGTCGACTGTCGTAGAATGTCAAACAGTTGTTCAAATCCAGTTGCACTTTCATACATACAATGTGAATGTGGATTCTGCTCTTTCTCAAAGTCAAAGCATTTATTTCAATTAAACCATAATTTGGTACTTTTGAAACGTAAACAAATACAAAATAAATAATAATCTGTCAGTCAGTCCGTCAGTGAAGCTAGGGGAAGCTAGGTGCTCATTCCAAAATATAGATTCGAATGGAGAAGAACGAGCAAGAAACTCCATTACTCTTTTTAAAAAAGTATGTTCTACAATGTCTTTGATACATATTCCAATGCTGTGCGTATACGTGAGAACAATGCAAAGACACGCTTGACGCATTATATTTTTCTGATAGAATAGTTATATTTGTACTGTGATGCACTACAGTGACCAGCAAATCAAGCTTCTCCATTCTGTCAAATTTAATCATTGGATTTTCGATTCTATATCAATACAAGATAGTTTAATATGTAATACTGAAATTGCTGTACTGTATTATTCTTGCGGAGAACCTCACAGGTAACCGGGGCTCCGGCTCGACGTGCAGGAGAAGGAACGGAGTGGTTTTTAGTCAGTAAGAGTCTGACACTCCCTCAGTCATTCGATGAATTTCCCCCCTTAAAAAAAAATAAAAAAAAACGGGTGTCAAGCTACTGTAGGTTTGTGATTCTGTCCTGATCTGAGTGTATGAATTCCAAAATAGATACGGAAAATTTTTGCTCGAGTCGAATTCTTATGAACCGAATCGAAAGAGTGTAGTTGGAACCAATTAATTACTTTAAACGTTAACTGTCTATTTGTGAAGTTGTCTTGTCCCTTCGTCTCTTCAAAAATGTTTCTAGTAGAATAAATAGATACAAGCAACAATCTAGTTTACTACTAAATTCACAAACTACAAATCACATTCGCCTGCTTTCGAGTCACGTTTGCATCCACATAGAATTTGTCACAATGCAAAGAAAATGTCGTTAGGGGTATAATCGGGTTTTATCTGGCATTTGAATGAAATGTCAATGCGACGCTATTGGTCGGATAAAAGGTTCCCGAAAGACCATTATGTAAGCATTGGTACATTACTACGCAGTTGAGGGTTGTGATTTGGTCCTTAGGTACTCGTATGTGAGGAATTATGGGGGAAGGAAGGAAATTGTAAATTGTGTATTGTTGCTGTTGTAGATTGCTATCACCTTTGTATAATACGGTCGATGTTCAGGGAAAAAGGTAATGATAAACACGTATGTACTTGTCAGACATCTGTATACAAGAAATACTAAATTATAGTCCGGGTACGAAGTGAGGATACCGGAGGCCCAATTACCCTAGTCCCCGTCCCTAGTCCTCGTCTCCCGAATCCCAAAAGGCCGGTAACGCACTCGTAACGCCTTGGTGTTTCGAGTGTCCATGGGCGGCGCCGATTGCTTAACATCAAGTGATCCGTTTGCTCGTTTACCGGCTTATGCCATAAAAAAAAACGAAGAATAATATCACCTTCATTTCTTACAATAAAGTTAACTGGATATCTTTTCTTGTCTACAGACTGCAAGACTTCAGATGCGTGTGGTGTCGTCGGTGCGTACACGCTGCGTGCAAGCCGACGTGGCGCGCGTCGTGCTCGCTGGGCCCCACGCGTGCGTCCGTCGTGCCTCCCACACGCCTGCACTCCGTGGGACCCGACGACGCCTGGGTCCCTGACAGACCGCCAAATGCTAGCCCGCTTATTGTCTTCGTTAACTCCAGATCAGGTGAACATTAGTCCTAATTATTGTTTTACACATTTTCTGCATGTTAAAATATTGATGTCTAATTCCTTATCCTGATTAGATTTATTCATGTAAAGTTAATTCTAAAGCGATTTCATTTTTAATTTCTATAAACATTTTACTTCTCGCTGAATATCATACAAATCCTGCGTAATGGGTATTTCTTTCAGGCAATGAATTTATACCCATGCAAATCATTATTTCGCTCGTATCCAGGTGACAACCAAGGCGTGAAGTTCCTCCGTCGTTTCAAGCAGCTTCTGAACCCGGCACAGGTGTTCGAACTCAGTGGTGCTGGGCCTCGGTTAGGGCTTAGACTGTTCAGGCACTTCGCTCCTCTCAGAGTGCTGGTCTGTTCTGGTGATGGGTCTGTCGGCTGGGTGCTTCAGGAGGTTGATAAGCTAGATATGCATGTAAGTTTTATAAGAATCCTAGTAAGAATAGGTACTTAAGTCATTTTTGATCGAAAACCCTCCTAATAGCCTTATCATAAAGATCCATTTTCTGAACATAATATCCCAAAATATTTGCAGCGTCAAGTCCAAACAGCAGTTCTGCCACTGGGTACGGGCAACGATCTGGCTCGCGTGTTAGGCTGGGGAGCCTCCTGTGATGACGCAGCCAACCTCCAGGTGCTCATCGAACGATACGAGAGGGCTTCCACTAAAATGCTAGACAGGTGAGACTGTTAAACAACAGACAGTGTTCTTTGTTTCGTTTTACAGAAAATTTTGGAGTTTTTTCTTGACTAATACCTAAAATAATATAATCATTATGAAACTATTCAATTACCTTTGTGCTGGTGATCCAATAAGTAAACCGAATGATCCAAGAGAAAACTGTAGATTGAATGCATAAAAGCACTAAGAGGAACTATTTTGAACATTCTATAGGCACGTCCAGAAAATCACGTAGTATATAAACTAAACTAGTAGTTGTCATAACTAAAGTTAATGCCTCCTCACGCTAATATAATTTTTATAGCCACGTTACACGAAGCACGTAGGTACCATTTCGAGCATAAAGACTGGACGTCAGGCTACTCACTGACATTTCAATATTTAATGAGCTTATTTGGTAGGCATCTTGGCATCACGCCAAGTCACCCAAAGCCTCGAACGTTTCCGTTCATGCGCCAATAATAATTGAATAAATTGACCTAACTAAGAAACTTTTTGACCTTTTCACCAACTTTATTTTAAGACCCAGTCTCTGTAGCGTCTGCTCCAAAAAGCTATTTATAGGCTAATTTAAATCAAGAAAATCTCATTTTGAGTCTACAAAATCTGTTATTGACTTCGACTTTCTTAGTATTTTTTATTACCGATTAATTTGGTTAATTTGTTTCTGTATTAGGAACGTTGTGGTCGAGTCATGTTTTGTCACTAATATCAAAACGTTGTTATTTATTCGTTTGTTCATTTTATGATTGTTTTCGAACAATTTGTGAAAACTGAATCGCACTGCAATCAAATAAACTATTTCATCAGTTCAATTCGCCATTCAGAAAACTCACATATTTTTCATTGACAAATCAGTTCTTTTTTTTTCTTCTTTTGCAACCGACTCTCCAAAATGGTGTTGTCGACTATACTGCCAGTGTCGAGTGGTAATGGTAAAATTAATGAACCGTCGAACTTAAGTTTGACAAATCAGTTCTGAAATATATTCTTCTTTAGGTGGTCAATAATGACGTTCGAGCGTGCACTAACCGCCCCGCCGCCCCCTCCAGTGCCCCCCGATTTACTGGAGGAGAACTCGCTGCTCAGGAACTTGCAGGATATCATGCAGGTAAACGAATGAATATACAATATTAAAAATGAGCCTAGAATCAATATAACCTAGCACCTTTGACGGAAAACGATAAATATGATCATGTTGTTATTAAAAAAGATTATTTATCATGCATGATCAATGATCATAGAAAAACAGAAAGCTTCTATCTCAATCTTGTGCTTGTTGGATTTCTGATTCATTATAAAAACCTGATTCCAAATACTAAACTGAATACTTCTAAACAAATTGGATCTCTTATTCTTGTGGACTTAATATCCATATTATGTAGGCTGGAGAAATGAGTTGCGTAGCCAGCACATCTCTCCGCGCGGGCTGCTCTCGGCTGGCAGCGGTAGGAGAGCGCGCGGGAGGCGGGGCCGCGCGTGCGGCGCACCGCCTGCGCCGTGCTGTGTCCTTGTTACTGCACGCCAGGGCACATCTTGCACATGATCATACGAGGTGCAAGTAAGTATACCATGCACATCTTAAAATAATAATATTAGAATAAAACTCTAAGAAGAAACAGGAAATAGATTTAAAAAATATTGAATGTCACTAACGTAAAGCACTTCTTTAGTTGTGAAATATTCTTCTTCTTCTTTAGAATTTTTCTACCCTGAGGGTATAGACCTCCTTTAGTTTCTACCATCTCTTTCGGTTTTGAGCAATGTCTGTCCATTTCGTCCCAGGTGTTCGTTTGATGTACCGTATCGTACCAACGTATCTGGGGTCTTCCTTGTTTTTCGCCCAATGGCTCTACTCGGCAACAACGGCAACTCTATCACGGTTTTGCACCACGAACCCTATTTGCGTGCGACGCGAGTAGTTCCCTTCAGTACGTCAAACATTAATGTCAATTAATATTTTTAGGTCTTGGGAGCCAGTGGAAACGACGAGTGATAGCGAACCAGAAGCACAACCAGTTGCCGAGAAAGGCAGCATCGAAAAGACTGAAAAGGTAATACTCGATGACAAATTCATTAACCGTTACCTTCTGAACTTTGTTCAAGACTAGTTTCATAATTGTTTAATTATTATTTCTTCAAAAGTAGCATTACTTTTGAAAAACATTCATGAATCTGCGATCCGAAAGACCAAATTAGTCTTCGTCGTAACATAAACAGTAAACAGTTTAGTACAACGATACGACTACTACTGCTTTAAAAATTGCATGATTTATTATTTTTAGTTCATTATGTTTTCGAACTATCATATAAACTTCTGTGTTCTATCCAGGAGCAACTGAACTGGGCAGCGCGAGGTTGCGCGCTGGCGGGGCGCGCCGACAGCGTGCGACGTGCGCTGCGCTCACTACTGCGCACTCTTACGCAGATGTACCCACAGGTACGAAACTTAAATAATTTCAGAATACTAAAAACGGTTATGAAATCTATTTCTCCTCGTATGTGTTTTCTAATACGACAATCTAACTTTTGTTTATGGTCAGCACTTAAACAAAAATAAAACCGTTTAAAAAGCCACGCACTCGGCGCTTCAGTTACATATAAGTTGACATTTTCTCAAGAACTTTAATCTTGTCGGATCTTATCTTAGAAAACCGGTGACATAGTTTCTTCCATGGCATAGCTCCAAGCTTCCGATAAACATCTTTATTCTTCGCTAAACAAAATAAATTGTATCGCACAGCTCTTAATAGACAAAAGAAAACTATTTGGACGAGTATTGTTTTGAGATTTTTGGCAACGACTGTACCTAGGACTTGACTTAATAACCTATTTCCTGGTATACAGAGGTCCATTGTTCTAGATAACTCATACAGATATTGAACCTATTGTTCATATTTTATTTATAGATATATTTAAGACCACAATTTTATTTTCAACCTTATTTTGATGTCATTTAGGGTGTATCACAAGAAGGAGACTCTTGCGACACATGTGAGGGTTCAAGTACAGCTGGTCATGCTGTGGAAGGAGTTGAAGCGCCGAGTACAACAAACGCGCCTGACATGGCTGCGCTACCAGTACCGAAGGCGTTCGCTGATAGTCGCCGGTCATCTGCTGCCAGCGCCGTATCTGCTGCCTCACTGCATCCAGACAAGTTAGTAGCAATGAAGTAATAACTTCTTAGAAATATTATAGTTACAAATTAATTAAATACTGACATGTGAGGTTATTTTGCTCTTCACTACTAATCTTGGTCCTTTTATCCGCAGCATTCCAGACGTAGATGATGATATAGTTAAATTAATAAGTGCGAACCCACCGGACAACTTCAACTTAGACGTGGACAACAAACCAGAACGCAGCAAGACCAGCTCTGCTTCGCCTCAGGACCGGCTCTCGTTGTCAAACCTCTCCTCCTGTGATACTAGCTCCTGCAAGAACCTCCTGAGGCCAGAACTAGAACGCACATATAATAGCAGTAGTCTTACTATACCTAACCTAGTTGTCTCTGACGATAGCGATAAGAGATCGATATTACAGGGAGATACTTATGAATCGGACCAATTGACTATTATAGACACCGACAAACCGTATACCGATGACGAACACTTCGAGGTGAGTGCGCGAGCCACGCCCGCCAGTGGAGACTGCACGCCCGACCGACGACTCTCCAGTGTCGACCTGGAGATCGAAGCCAGTAGTTCAGAAGGGTCCAACATTAGCGACGACTTTAGTTTAATATCAGAAATTATTGATGCCAAACCAGAGGATATTGAGGAAGCGAGAGGGATCGGAATCGGACACATCGACTCCCCCGAGGTGTCGGAAACTACATACGTCAATTCCGAAACGTTACATGGAGAATCTATCATGGACGATATTAGTTCAATGCTTGGGCAGGAAGTGTTATTGGCAATGATGGGTAAGAATGGTGAAAATGAGACATACACTGATGACACTACTCTCTTCACATCTGACACTGTGTCGGACATCGCGATGGACAGTCGGAACCCAAGCCTTGAGAAGAACAACGATGCGAAACTTAAATACATATCGAAAATAAAGAAACCCAAAGAACCAGAGGCGGAGAAGTTCGGATTTGAGAACAGAGTATTTTACATCGAAAATGCAACGAAAGTAGAGGAACAGATTAAATACTGCAGTCTAGCTCATTTTGAAGAAGGAAATGACATAGCAAGGAAGTCATTCAAGAAGCAGCTAAGAAAAAGTTTGAAGAAACGAGTAGTAGAAGATGTGAGCTTGATACATCTGCTACCAAAAACTGCTGAAGAAATTCACAGTATCAAAGGAGCTGAGACTCCAAGCTTGATGGAACCGCCAAGACTGATTTGTGATGATCAGATGCATGTTCCCGATATAGGTGGGTTTCCTCAAGTAAGCGTGGTAGTTGAGCCACCATCTCCGTCACACAGTGAAGACAAGAAGAGTTTGAAGACTTGTCCTAGCCGTATGGCATCAGTGCTCAGTGATATTTTTGATCAGGGTACAGATACTCTTAGTGTGAATTCTCCTGAGCCAAGTATAGGTAGCACTAGAGAGCGGCGACAGTCGGACAATCCAAGGCTCTTGGGTCAAACAGATCCAGAATATGGAAAATTCCTTAGCTGTTCGCCTGCTGCCACTCGAAGGATATCATGTGGAAGCCTCTTCAAACCAGGAGAACCTGACAAGTAAGTGAATATTCGTTTTATTTCCATTTCATTAAGTCTCTTTTTGATTAAAGGACCACTTTCTGAAAAACCAACCCTTTTATTCGTAATTGTATTTTTTTCCGGCACCTGTAGTAATTGTTAAGGAAAATATGGAATAATGTTATACTTCATTTTTACCGATCCAGAGGCTCAATAGCCTCTGGATCGGTAAAAATACGACATACGTTAAAATATTTTGTTCTCGTCTCTAACACAGTACTGATACGAATAAAAATAACAAATCATATATATATCTTGAAATAACTTCAACATTATTTTAGGAACGTATCTGTCGACTAAAGAGATATTTTTTATAGAACGAAAACGTAATGTTTATTTATATTCGGAACAAAATGTACATATGTAAAGCCTCGATGCCCGAACCAAAGTTTGAGAGAATATCTGCACAGTCTTCCTAATATTATGTATTTCGTGTATCAATATTTTTCAAGTTACCCTCGGGAACAAGTCATTCCGCGCCCTTGTGCGTACATTTACATTCATTTAGTCGCTTTACGAATATTTTCTTGTATATGTAATTCAATTTCTTTCCAAAGCTGAGCTTTCTTGTTTCAATTCAAGTTACGTAGGATCTGTACTAACCTCGTACTAGAATTATTAGGTGTCACTTAGAGGTTGGTGAAAACCAAAATTAAGGGTAAAGGTTACCTATCATAGGGGTTACATAAAATTTAGGAGAAGAAGTGAAAACGGGCATTATACTCATAATACTTCAACTTTTTCTAGACTATCCACATCTGTATCATCTATATGGGGCGAAGGAGGTGCGTCTCCCAGTCTCTGCACAAAAGAAGCTAATGAAAAGGCGAAGAAACTGCCCATCATCAACCCCTTGGTCCAACTACCAGCGTGGCCTCATGTCACCCAAGGTTTCATCAGCCAATGTCTTCTGGCAAACGCTGACGCACTATGTGCTGCTGTAAGTCCACTTATGGACCCTGATGAGACCTTACTTGAAGGGTTCTATGAACGGGCTGTAATGAACAATTACTTTGGCATTGGTATTGATGCAAAGATTACCTTGGATTTCCACAATAAGAGAGAAGAACACCCAGAGAAGTGCAGGTCTAGAGCCAGGAATTATATGTGGTATGGAGTGCTCGGGTCTAAGGAATGGGTGAATAGGACTTATAGGTAAGTATCGGAACACCGAATAAGATAGTTTTATAACAAAACAAATAAAGATTCATGAGACTTAGTTGCTTAAATATTGAAGAATAATAAACGACACACTTTTTTTCCAACTTAATAAGATTTTCACTTAATGTCTGAATTTGTAGCGTCAAACATTCTAAAAAACATTATTTTGCAGGCATCTAGGCCAAAGGGTGCAGCTTGAATGTGACGGGCAAAGGATTCCTCTGCCTGAGCTGCAAGGTATCGTTGTCCTGAACATACCATCGTTCATGGGAGGAACCAACTTCTGGGGAGGCACACGAGGAGACGACATCTTCCTCGCACCTTCCTTCGATGACCGGATACTTGAGGTTAGACCTAACTTTAGGACTTCTTATTCTTGTAATTATGAACACGAATATCTTTACATGAGAATATGCTACTTACTTACTTTTCGAAACCTCTTGTCCTAAAGGACCAAAATCAGAACCGAAGGACCAAAACCATCTAATTTTCTAAACAGGTCGTAGCGGTCTTCGGGTCTGCACAAATGGCGGCGTCACGTCTCATCAACCTACAGAAGCATAGAATCGCGCAGTGCCGTGCAGTCCAAATCAACATCCTGGGCGAGGAGTGTGTTCCAGTACAGGTGGATGGCGAGGCTTGGCTTCAACCACCAGGATGTGTCAGGATCATTCATAAGAACAGGGCTCAGATGCTCTGCCGCTCCCGGGCCCTTGAAACTAGTCTTAGGTTAGTGAAGTTTAGGTCAGTGGTGAATGTTTTATTCTTGATATTAAGTAGCTCAGTAGCGAACGGTTTGTAATTTTATAATTATATCCTGGATGTTGTCGGTGGATGTGATATGTTGTGTTTGATGTTTACTGGTGGCTGTTACGTGGAACTTATAACATGACAGATGTAACGTATATGATACTTCTGATGTGTATGTACCTACACTTAGCTCTCTGGCGAATATGTCCATGAATAGGTAAAATATCTTCACTCTTGTGTTTACCAGTCTGACTGCGAAACATTAAGATGGTCGTCTCAGTCATATCAATTTATGAGACACTTATCTCGTTACATTTTTAGTCAAATAGCTTTCTAAACCGGTTCAAGTTTCGAAAACCCTCATTTTCTAAATCTCTTTCAACATTATATTCTCTTAGAACATGGGATGAGAAGCAGCAGTTGAAGGCTCACGCGCTGGCGGGTACCGGCGCGGGCGGCGGGCCCGGCAGTCCGCGCGTCGCACTCTCACAGGCAGAGAGCTCGCAACTACTTGCACTGCTTGATGATGTCAATACTCTTGTTAAACATGTAAGTATCCGTTTATTTTTCTTGTTACATTCTTTTTTGGTAACTATACGGCGGCATACGAGCACTTGATGGCAAGCATTCGGCGTCGCCTATGTACACCCACAAGCATTTTGAAGATCAGGGGATTCGGGATGGCGAAGGATGGGACCACGAATGAATAATGGTACTTATGATGGACTTTATGATAATTCTTCTATCTCAGGTGAAGCTATCATGTATAAGTGAGACGTCGGCATGTGGCGGTGTGTCCCACGGCGTGTCACTGGCGCGGCGGGTGGCGGCGCACGCTGACGCTCTACAAGACGCTGACGGGAAACTACTGCCCGCACCGCAGTTGAGGAGATTGCTGGCCACACTGGTAAATGATCAGCAATCTTAAGAGAATGACAAACTCTTTTGCGACCTGTTTCTAACAATAAAACTCAAATGTGCACCACCTGGTTACAAAATGTGTCCAAATTCTGTCTCTAGTCCGCATAGATAAATGGGTTAATGAGCCTAATAGCGTATTAACGTTTAGAATTTTATACAATATCTACAAATTCTATTCTGTTTAATTACAAAACATTCTATTATTATAGAATTGACGATTACCTGCGGTGTTCTTTAAATATTCTTCCTAACATGAATTTTATAATATCAAATATTGAAAGTTCATTTAGAAATAATTATAGCGATTTCTATTAATAAAAATTTTCTCTGTACCCAGGTGGAGAGCTGTCACGAGTTAGTAGAGAGTGGTGGCATAACAGGTGCGGGCGCAGGCCCCGCCTCCTCACTGCGCGCGCATCTTTCGCGGGCCACTGTACACGACGGATACGCATTCCTACATACTGATGAGGTAATGGAAACCTTTTTAATGACTACACTATTTGTGGCCTTTAGGATTTGGACCACCATTGTTAAGAGTCAAAGAATATTCAAAAGGATCTCGACTAATCAAGCAATTTTGACCCTTATACTAAGGCTTAATAAGCTCGCCTGGCCAGAACACACAAAGTGTTCGTAACTGTAATGGCCTGTTTCAGCTATTTTTCATAACTTCATTGATAAACGAACTTCTGGACCGGGGCATGGAAAATGAATTCACTCCAAGAAAACATAAAATCTTATGTAGTTCTCCAGTAAAAAAGAAATTGTTATTTTGAACAACTTTTAATTGCACTAATAGTAGCATGTATGTACTACCAATAATATAATTGCACATTGGCTTTTTCAGCAAAACAAATTATTTTTATTTTGATGCAATAAGTAATATGATTTTGCCGCAATAACTAACGGTGCTTTGTTTCACATCCATATCCCTAGTCTTCACCCGTTAGAATCCCCCGACCTTATCGTAGACTCTCATTAGACGGAATTCGATTGTACTCGTATTTTTAGTTTTACTCAATAGAGATCAGAATAAAATTCATAGCAATAAAGTTACATTAAGTCTTGCTATAAAACTAGATAACATTCTATTTATTTACATTTTATGCAAAATAGACTTCAAAAATTAATGAACGCTTTGTGACATAACCGCATAAACCGCCTTGTAGCACAACCACGCATGTCCTCCAAAAACTAACCAACTACACCTGACACAACACAGCTGTGACCCCAGCCATTTCATTCGTCCCTTTCACCTGGTCCTTAGGTCCAAAAGAAGGGCAGTCGCTGGCTGAGAGGACGACGAAGCGTCTCCGAAGGACCAACTCCGACGTACACCGCCGCACAGGTCCGCTCCTGGGGAGTTAAAGAAGTTCAAGCTTGGCTAGAGTCCCTGCAACTAAGCGAGTATTCCGAAGCATTCGCTAAGCATGATGTCACAGGCAGGGAACTCCTCTCCCTCGCGCGCCGTGACCTCAAGGACCTCGGTGTCACAAAGGTCGGACACGTCAAGAGAATCCTGCAAGCCGTCAAAGAACTCCAGTGACGACGGCGAGGCCGCTCCGAAGGGGATGGCCTTGCATAACTCAAAGTGAAATTGAATCTGATTTTTCTTCCACATAACTTTTCTATAGATTTAGATCTCCTATTCTAAATAGTTCTTAACAAACAGAACTTTAATTAAAGATATATTTTTCGTCTATTGTAAAACGATTAGGTAATAATAAGATGATTATTTCTAATATATTCTACGTCCCAAACATTTACAATACAGTATTGTACCTAGGTACCCATATTTAACTTAGACTATGACTTTCGACTAAAAAAGAAAAATCAGAACATCGATTATGAGGTAATCTATACCCCCATTTGTCATGACTTTGGCTGAGCGGAGCCTCTTATAAGCGCAGCTATTAACTCGATTATACTCGATAGGCAATCGTAATCGATTCGATTCAATGCGTGTGACAGTTTAGGCTGAATAAAGTGTTGTTCTTCAAAGTGCGTGTTTTGAAAAGTCAGACTACGATTTTGTATTAAAAAAAATTAATAAATTAGGGAAAACTGAGAGTGGCCAAGCTTTTATGATTCAATATTCTTGTGACGTTTAAATATTGTAAAGTATTTTTCCAAGCTGTGGATTAAAAAAAAAATAAGCAAAATTACCCAAACTGTCGCCAAATTCTTATGACAAAAATATCTCCTTGTATTTAAAAATAATAAATATTTCAATCCTAAAGACTGATGAAACAAAAAATCAGCAAAAGATGAGGAGGAGGATCTAAATTCAATAAATAGGTTTACCTATCAGTACCTATTCAATAGTAATTTGCACGCTTAACCAACCTCGAATATAACTTTTTGCTGAAAGCTGATGATTTATACAGATTTTCGAAAGATTTGAATCATATTTATTCTACAATTTTGTCTACTTTCATACAAAAATTTAATTTGGCAAATTCATAGTTACCCCACTCGATTATTCCCTAAGATTGGCGCTCTAGTTATTTAGTGGACATGAATTATTATAATATGTATGTCCTATTTAAATAAACATTTTAAATGTTCAATACTATTGATACTATCATACCGTATATTATGGTTATGATAAAATTAATGTAAACGTAAGAATGAGAGTTGGTGTGTGAAAAATATAGAAATGAACGTTGTCTTGAGCAATGTCAACTGCTCTATATAATATAAAATCAATATTAAACAAAACGAATATGTATTGGGAACAGAGTTACGCGAATTTATTAGCAAAACAACACTATATTTACGAATTATCCGATTTTAAATACATATTATATAACATTTTTTTCATAAAATTTTCAACAAGAAAACATAATTTCGTCCCATTTGAATTTTAAACCCTTAACATAGTTTACCTATAAATGCTGCCAAAAATTACCTTCCATGACATTGTTTTAATCAATTGTTGAATATTGTTTATTATTATTATTATTGAAACAACGAATTATTTACATTTTTTGGCTAATACTTTACCCGTGGTTATCGGGAAAAGACTGCTAGATATCACTGAGAATAAATATTTGTTTGTAGTTTGTTGTATACTGTAATAACTCTGGCAATGGCATGTAGGCAACTAGGTACTATATATATCCTGACCACGTAGCAACACCCCAAGATTATAAAAAAATTAGACAAAATATTTAAAATGTCTCTTTTTGACTGGCAACAATATTAAACACTTCCAAAAATATTTTAATTATCTATACCCAAACCTAGACGAAAGAACCTTTAAAAAAATAGAACTGTCAATATTCTAAATTTAAATAGCGGCTGTCTGAAGAGACTCTTTATTTATTAAAAAAAATAAGGCATATAGAATAGTAATAGCCAACCACATTAACCAATATAATCTATTTAAAATAAATAAAAGTAGCAGAAGTACTTTATGGAAACCATATACAATTATATTAACTTAATAGTTTAGTGGACTTGCAGTCAAATAAAGACTTTATCTCAACAAGACTACAGTTTATTTTTGATGTTTCCATAATGGTCCTTATCCGGTCCTTCGGTCTGCATACTCAAATCCTACACAAGTTTATGTTACTCGTAATTCTTGTGTAACTGGACATCCTTAGTGTCAAAATAGTGTAAACTGCAAGTCCCAATTTTCAACATAATAAATAATATACTCAGCACCAAATAAAACCCGTATTATGCACAAAATAGTAAGTGTTCGAGTAGCAGTTAGACGTAACAGTTAGCATAGAATAATTTTATCGGTACGCCATATAAGTACAAGCCTTTAATAAAGTGTATACCAGAATATTCAGAAAGTAAGTCTATCTCACTTAGTCAGGAATGACCTAGCCATCTTTACAACTTGTAGCAATAAACCAGGATTTAATAGACACGTTCAATTTCAACGATTAGACAGTTTATGTATAGTGTGAGGCCACTGTAACGTGACCCTTAGTGTAGGTACAATTAGACTATGGGGTGGACCTAGCCCAAGTGGTCGAGTAGAAACAGTCGCCGTATGTAGGTGTCTTATTCTTAATTCAAATTCTAAATATAACGAAGCAATCTCATCACGTCTGCGTCTACGTGAACTATGATGGACAACCTACTTTTACAACTGTTATAAGACTATCTATGAATGTGATCTCGTATAATTTTATTTATATCTCTTAGATAAATGCTACGATCGCGTGGGATGAATTTATGTTACTCCGTTATTGAAAAAAAAAAACAAATGATTCGGAAATAATGGCCGGTTACACACTCATTAATTATTTTGAAAATTATTACGATCTGATGATAGGATCGCAATAAAATAAGTTTTCAGAAGACATTATTCTTTACTTAAGCGCTCTTTCTATTCTTGTTTGTGAGTGAGGCCTAAATTTTAAATTTATTTTCTTCGTATTAATTCGTTCCACGCGATCGCCTCTCCTTATATGATCTGCCTTATAAATGTTTTTATAAAATGTATCTCTACAGAGTATCCAGTCTATGTACTAGTGTACATGAACGAGTGTGTCGTCTTTACATACTTGTATTTATATTAAATATTTATAATAGTTTTGTAAACTCGAACTTAATACTAAAAAACTAGTAAATATTTTCTCCGTGACCTAAACGGATCGTTTAATGCCTTAGATGATTTAGGAATATTCGAATAATAAATATACCTACTTTTAATAATAGATTGTGGGTTTTATGCTGTGTTTAGTAAGCAGATATACAAAACGATATAAAGGTGAATTACATTAGACTACGTTGAAAAAAAGAATTCTCCCCTAACTATCTTAATATCTTCTATTAATTACATTTTTCAGGGAATATAGTAAATGAGTATTATAATTTTGAGTTTTATCGCTCTAAACATGGCATAAAAATGCACACAAATTATTCGTAATAATTATCCAAAATGTAGATATTATATACTTATTGTTGTATCGATTATTTCCTCTACATAATATGTTCCGATATTTTCTTCGATGAAGTCCCAAATCGTAAATTTTAACGAAATGCGAATAATAAAATTAAATATTCGAAATCATTATAATAATTATTATACAAAATTAATGGAAAATTAATCGTTGTCCTTTCATTATTTGTAAGTGTTTTTATATTTCAAATAAATAAAAAAAAGTAAAATTAATGTTTTACATCCGGTGTGAGGAACGATGTTGAATGAATTTTAATTTTTACATTACTTACTTCAATTGCTGTGAATTTTTAAATAAATTGTCTATAGTTGATATATTTCAGTGTTTACGTGATGTTTTCATTGGTGCTGTTTTCTTGGGTCCGAGGAAATTAATAGCATTTTATGTAATAAGCACTCAATTACCTAACTAAATTTAAACCGTCTCGAAGGACCACATTCTAAAATTTAAGTGGTCTTTCATGTGTGCGAATTCATATTTAATTCATGACAAGTATAAACGCTATGAGGCTATGATTAACCAACGGCAGCCTCATGAGAAGAGTCGATAAGTTTTCTTTGGACCCCAGAAAGCAGCAAAATAATAAATTCTAAAAGTTTTCCTTATAAATGTAATCATATCAATATGTTTAAGTCAGTTTTAATGTTGCTGTCGTTATATTAAAATAATTCTTTGTAAACTATTTTACGATCGATTTCAATTAAGCAATAAGCATCGATTTTTCGCTTCAATTTTCTACTTAGGTGTTGTAATTCTTTTGTTTTGATTTTGGCGGCAATTTTTGTAATTGGAACTGAAAGTAGCACCATAAACAATCTTGATTGATTGTTGTCTTTTATCAACGAGGGAGAAATGAATTGTTTTTTTTTTCTATGTCGAGTGCCGGGAATTTCTTTTTATTTATTTCATCATAATGACGGTTGGCTACGTCTTCCGATTCGGGGCTTCCAATTGAAAAAAGCAATAGCTTCGATTATTGTAATTTATGATGTAAGTTTTGTCTAAATAATTAGTAGAACAAAATCGAAGAAAATGTTAATATCGAAATATTGTTTTAAAATATGTTTTAAATGAGGTTTTGAGGGTTTGCTCGCCAAAATTAAAACAATAATTTTATGTTTAAGTTATTCTAGTCACTGTAATATCGGTATGTTCCTGATGCAAGTTGTGAGAAACAAAATGTACCTACACTCTCTTTTCTATGTATTTGTTGTCTAAAATTATTTAAAATGTTATCGCTAATGTGTTATTTGTTTGTGTTGTAAGCAATTTCATGATAAATTTTGTATTAAGAATTTTAATTTTACGGAATTACCAAAGTACCTACTTATAAGAAAAATTACTTGCTAAATTCAACTATAGATAAATCTGGTCCTTTGATCCACAACCAAAAATAATTACTAAAATCGTCAGTAACTCATTTATGAAGTTTATCATAAAAATGCTACTAAGTATATTGAACTCATTTAGATATTATTTGCATAATAATGGATTGTATACGAACGGCATCAATTAGATAAAGAAGACCAAATTTTATGTAAGTATTTATATTAATAAGTGCGTTTGTTTCGTTTTGTTTGTGATGTTTTAATACTGTTGTGTTTAATGATTATGTTTGTAATAAATGTTGTTGCAGATTTGAAATTGATAAAAGAAATAGGAAAAGCAATGAAAAAAATAATCACTATTTTCAACTGAAGAACAATTTTAAGTATACACTTCATAAATGCCGCTCATAAAGTTTTACGACTTGCTTATTATTTATATGATCAACAAAATAACTACTACGCTACTACCCTGCTACGAAGTCTGCATAGAAGTGTAGTGTGCTACGAAGTAGCTATCTTGTATGCTACGCTAGACTTCGTAGCAGCGTAGCCGTGTAATAGAATGAAGCACATATGCTCTGCAACAACATATTATTATTTGCATTTTACGTGAAGTTTGCTTATTTTTTGTAGTTATTTTAGTTTACTTATAAAATTTTGCTCAAAGTATTTTAAGTTAATTTGTTAATTCAATGTTTGTCGTTGGTGTAAATTGATTTCAAATGTGATAGGTTGCACATCTTCCTTCATAACATTTTGGTCCTTTCGTCCGCGGCCATTTAATAATGGTAACATTATTAATTATTATAATATTTGTTAATTAAGTGACATTGGCACGTGTACGATTAAGTTCGACGGTTGTAACGGTACATTCAGTAATTCTAGAAGTATTATCAACACTCGTGTATTGACTACAACATGTGCAAATTATTTTTTTTTACCGACTGACTGTCTTTTAGATTTTATTAAAATGAATTCAGATTAAAATATATAACATACCTACTATGTGAAGTCCTAAGTTCTAATTTTGCTATATTTTGATGTGTAACCTACAAAGTGTTCTATGTATTAAAGTTTGTCTGACGAAAGTTCTAGTGGTGGGTTTGATACGCCCGTTTATGAAGTTTGTAACTCAGAATCGACCTCGATATTTTCTCTCAATATTTATATTTGGGAATTCAATAAATTATACTGTTACTCATAACGTGTTGGTTTTATTTTATGGAAAAAAATGCTAAACAGCTCGTATCGTATCGTAGGTAGTCGTCCTATATTTATTTAAAGGCTTCATACACACACTAATGTAAGTACAAGGTGGGCTTTGCCATGGGCATTCTCCTCCAGCTAGACCTTTAGGTGATGCAGAGACAAAAACAATGGTCGATGCAAGAAGCAAGCGTATTTAAGAAATACATAAAAAATAATAGTATAGGCTTACATAAGATAAATCACTTTATAAATTTACATGTATATGCAAGTATTCAAAATAATGACCAAGAGAAATACATAAAAAAGAATAGTATAGACTTACATAAAATAAATCACTATTTAAATTTACAAATACGTTCAGTCGTTTTGACGTGAACGAGTACCAACCAAACATACAAACTTTTATTAGTAGGATAATAACAAGAAGGTTGTTTAATATAGGTAAGTATTTGTATCGATATTATTGACTTTTTGTGTTGTACTTACTATTTGACCTGACTGTACCCACATAAATGTCCTAGTTACACCTAATCCTATTAATTTACATAATTATGTAGACTAATTTCATTATAGTGATAAACATTAATTAGATAAACTTTTAATGTGTGCAAAAAATTAATAGTGCTAGGTAGGTAGTTAGCGTTTTAATTGAACTGATTGCCTAAATTAGTCCGAATACGCACGTTGCTTAAATAATTAAAACTATAATTAAAATTATCTACTAATTGGATAGATACTAGAAATACCTATGAATTAATGATTCTATTTTTCACGAGCCTATTATCACGCTTTTAATATGTACCCAAAAATGTATGCAGACGTGTGCTTTTTTTAACGGGGAGAAAATCATCCAATGACTTCTCCCGCCTGGGTGAGGCGAGAGGTCAGACTGCTCTTTGAGCTAGAGCCCCGGCAACCCGTTAAGTCGTCCGCGGCTCCGCATCAGTATCGGCCCTACTGGGCCACATCTGAAGCAGACGTGTGCTATGTTTATGTTAGACAAGGGGCGTAGTTAACTACATAGGGCTAAGAGTAGAGGTAGCCGGAGTATAAACTACCTACTCACCCTAATTTTAAGGTATTTGTTATTTTATCATTTCATAATATGACAAAAAAGGAAAGTAAAAATTCGATGTCTAGCTCTAGACAAATTATATTCTCTTTGGTCTAGATCTTCATAACAGTTATTATAATATTTATTGAGAAACTAGCTACTTCCGCGCGGTTTCACACGCTCTACTCAGCTCCTATCGGTCGTAGCGTGATGTTTCATAGTCTATAGCCATCCTTGATAAATGCACTATCCAACACAAAAAGAATTATTTAATGAGACTTGTAGTTACGGAGATTAGCGCGTTCAAACAAAAAAAAATAAACTCTTCTGCTTTATATATAATCAATACATAGTATAAAACAAAGTCGCTTTCGCTGTATGTCCGTATGTATGCTTAGATCTTTAAAACTACGCAACGGATTTTGATGCGGTTTTTTTTAATAGATAGAGTGATTCTTAAGGAAGGTTTGTATGTATAATACATGCATATTGCACCCGTGCGAAGCCGGGGCGGGTCGCTAGTATAGTATAAGATAAAACAGTAGTAGATAGTTGCAATAAATGTCTTGTCACATCGTCAAAAGTTAAGTACCCTTTGAACTAGCTTTTGGAAGTGTAACAATAGGGCTTTTAGACAGTCGCCTAGTGAAAAGTCGGAATATTGTCGTATTTACGCGGTGAAATCTCCTGTCATAATAAAATTCTTGGAACTCCCGTCATATATAGGTTATCGAGTTGACAGTGGCCGTCAGCCAAAACCTCAATATATTTTTAAGGGGGGAAAAACGTCAAATGACTTTTTCCGCTTAGGGGAGGCGGAAGGGAGTGTCAAACTCCATTCCTACTCCTGCACTTCGAGCCGGAGCCCCGGTATTCTGTTAAGTTCTCTGCGGCAAAACCTCAATGTATAGGTTTTGTATTTCCAAAAATACTCACTAATAATCAGAAATGCTCAGTAGTCATCAACAGCTTTAAAGCGCCCACTGCTGAGCAAAGCCTCTTCTTACACGGAGAAGGTTTGAGCATTAATCACCACGCTTGCTCATTGCGTGTTGGCGATTTCAAACTTATAATTAGAAATTATAAGCCCAGGTTTCCTCACTATATTTTCCTTCACCGTTTGTCGGTGGAGTCTAAATAATCTTAGAAAGTACTCATTCGGCAAAAGTCACATTGGTATTTGCTGTTGGTAGGTTCCGAAGCCGCACTTTCATGCATGATAAGCGGGCGTTTTAACCTCCGGGCTACCACGACACGAGATTAATACTAGCTATCGAACACTACTCAGTAGTGATCGGCCTTATAATAGTGTTGTGTCCTGCGTGTTTGTGTTGTTGGTTGGAGATTGAAGGGCGAATGTTCGAGAAGATTAAAATATTCTTTTAAGAGGTAAGTAGGCCTTATTGTTTATTATTAATAACCAGAATTAGATGTCAAAGTGCACTTGCACTTCCATACTTAGTCATCAACTATTCTGGACAGAATATAGACTTTTTTCTACATAAGAGACTCTTGTTTGCCATAATCTCCAAGGTTGGTTGGAGAGTTTAATAAATTTAGGATTTTCACAAACCGTACATAACTAACCTACTCCCATTGGTGTAACGTACAAGGACGTTGAAGGACGGACATAGTCTCTTAAAACAACAACTGTGACACCTGGCTACTATAGACTTACACGCAGAATACACACACATTGACACGAAGGACATCTGTCGAGTGACATGGCCTGTCATTACACGTCATACATTACGGTGTTGCAAGTATACGCACACATAAATACACCACTGACATTTTGCTGCTTCAATCATTTCTAAGTGGCATTACGTCCGCCTTTTATTCAAGGTCCTTGGTTACGAAGTAAAAAGTAGGTCGTAATAATGAAAGTCACTATTCAATGCCCTAATAACCACATTTACAGCCTTCTGTAAAATATTGTACACACACGACAAAAGAATCAGACGCATTTTATTACGGGGTTTACTCGCATAATGGACTATGAAGTGTCCAAGCTTTGCACTACATTCATTGGATTAAGATTTAATGTTTTTATTTTACGAGTATTTTCATTTTCAACTTTGCCTTGAAAATATTTTTGGTTCTTTTTTTTAAAGGGAGGAAAATCATCGAATGACTGCTCCCGCCTGGGTAGGGCGAGAGGCAGTGTCAGACTCTTACTGACTAAAAATCACCCCGTTCCTACTTCTGCACGTCGAGCCGGAGCCCCGGCAACCCGTTAGGTTATCCGCGACATTTTTTTGGTCCTTTGAGTCGAATATTTCATTGAATGTGTTCGACCTTGAGTCCAGCAACAGCTCGACAGCGGAGTGCGTTGGGAACTTTTTTATTGCCACTCCGCTGTACACTTGTGATACATTTGGTTGCTGTTGTACAAACGACGGTATCTGACTACCATCAGTTTGGCCTTTTTTTTTAAGGGGGGAAAATCATCGAATGGCTGCTCCCGCCTGGGTGAGGCGGAAGGGAGTGTCAGACTCTTACTGACTAAAAACCACCCCGTTCGTTCTCCTGCACGTCGAGCCGGAGCCCCGGTTACCCGTTAGGTTCTCCGCGACTCCGAATCGGCATCGGCCCTATTGGGCCCCATCTGTGGTGGTCTGATGGCTCTTTGAGGCGCGCGCGGAACGCGACGCGCCGTACGCTCGGGTCTGTTTCTGGCAGGCCCGCGCTTACGGTGGCCGGAGATCGTCTCGCGATCCCCGACGCCCGGATGGCGATGGCTGGGTTGCGAGGAGGCAGCGCTTCGCTGCCTCACGCGTCCCGCCTCCTCCTTAGCTAGCATATCAGTTGGGCCCTAATCTTTGTTGATACCAATAGGGCTATAAAGAAAGAAATATTCAATAAAATAACATACTTATCGTACAACAGCTTTAATTCTCTCTAACGACTGTGTCTTGCCCAACAAATCCATCATCTCCGCGACTCCTGGTCCCTCATCCAGCCCACTTATAACCGACCGCAGCATCTTCATAAGAGCCGGAAACTTCACACCATTCTGCGCAGAGAAACTCCTCAAGCTCTCCTTTAGACTACCCTGGTCAAACTTCTCCAATCCTTCCAAATTATTTACCAATTTCCTTAATAATTCCTGGTCAACCTTCGCAGTGCTCTTAGGTAAAATCCATAGAAAACCATATTTTTTAGAAGATAATTCTTCTATTCTTGAAATTCGTGTTGCCGACCAGTTCAAAACGGATTTAACATGTTCTTCTGTCAAATTCAAATTGTGTTCTGGATAAGTTTTAGTTATTAATTCTTGTAGTTTAGATACTAGGCTTTTTGCTTCGTCTTCGTCTCTTAGTCTCCGTTTAATTTCTAAGCGATTGCTTTCTTCTAATAGGTCGGGGTTTAGTCGACTTGGGTGTGATGATATTTTGTCAATCTGGAACTGTAAATTAAAACATGCCTGTTTATGATATTCGCGTCGTCGCTGATTGGTAAGCGAATAAGAACGTTTATTTTATTTGCTAAGCCAAACTTATAAATATAAAAATAATATGTGCGAAGAAATCCGTAATATGTAAGTTCTTAGGTACCTCTCCAGCTAATTCTTCCATAGTCTTGAGTCTGAGGCCTGCGCCCGGCACGTGCTCGAACCCACCGCCAGACAATGTTATGTAGTTCACTAGCGCCAACGGGAATATACCTGAACAATAACAATATCATAAGTAATTGATTAAGAATAGAGTATTCTTAGGAATCTGAATAGCGAAAATTACATGTCTTTAGTACCTCTATATTAAAGTGAAACAAGTGAATTTATTTCTGCAAATAGGCTACAAGGTAGCACTTTTACACGTCAATTTTATCAAGCGAACGATGAGGTCGACATTTCCTAACTGACTACTCTAAGAAGAAATGACGAAACAAACTCAGAGGTCTGTCTCTTTTAAAGTCCAGACAAATAAGTATAAAAGATTATGTGTGAGAACCGTGCAAGTTCTTTCTGTAGTGGCCGTTTGAGGAAAGAACCATAACAGTTTGAGCGGACCCGCTCTGAAGGCAGTACGCATGTGTCGGTTTACAGTCGGCTCAATTAACAAGTGAGGCTGACTGATTCGACGAACAATACCAACCTAAAGAACATTTGCGTGGGTCGCACAAATACTCAAACTGTCAGAATATGGGTAATTAGAAAAGAAATGGAGAGACAAAGTCTCGCACGGTCCTAGCACTAACAATTGTAAAAATAAAAAAAGGGCAAAATATGGGAGACTAATATTAAAAATTATTAATAAAATTGTAATAAATTCAAAATACCATTGGTTCTATAGTCTTCAACTTTGACGTCACTCTGTCTCTTGCTGAGTTTAGTGCCGTCCGCATTCACTATCAGCGGCATGTGGCCGAACTGCGGCGGCTTCCAACCGAACGCCCTGTACACAAATAATTTCATCATGTACAGATACCAAACTTCACTGACATTTAACTTTATTCATTTGTAAGCAGACAGTAAATGAATAAAGAAAGATACGGTACACTTAAGTGTACTTACCTATAAATCAGCAAATGCTTAGTAGTAGAGATCTGCCACTCTACGCCTCGCAACACATGAGTGATGTCCATCAAATGGTCGTCCACCACGTTAGCGAAGTGGTATGTTGGGTAGCCATCACTCTTCATTAGCACTGGGTCCCCTTCGTTCAGAGACACGTCGTATGCTATACTGCCGAATATTAGATCTTCGAAGTACTGGCAGTCTGATGTTAGCTGGAGAAAATAGAATAAGTGATGCTGATCACTATCTTCTTTACAAGAAGGGCCCCCGTTCTCGGGGGACCCCGAAGGACCGACAGTTGGGATGATGACAGGGTATGAAAATTGAAAATATTAGATACGTATTTTTTATTTTGTCTTATAATAAAACAATACTTAGATAAAACGAATCAAAGTTTAGGAGTGGGGGATAAAACGTCATTTCTACGTATAAAATGCATATAGAAGTGACGTCACGCGACATTTCAAATCAATATATCGTCGAAAGTATTCGTTTCTGTAAGAAAATAAAAAATACGTGTCTAATGATTTAAAATAATCAGAGGACATAAAAATAAAAAATAGGACAGTCTGACACACCCGCTACACGTTACGCGGCAACCCCCCAACGTGTATCGGGTTCGATTCCCGCACGGAGCAAATCTTTGTGTGATCCACAAATCGTTGTTCCGGGGCTCGGTGTCATTTGTATGTGAACTTGAATGTTTGTAAATGCACCCATGATATAGAAGGAAATCCTAGTGTGTTATGTGGGTGTATTATTGTGGGCACACAGGGGTCCCAGCGTAGTCTAAGACGGCCCTGATCGTGATGAATAGTAGGTTGGGTTACTTAGGTGGTCTAGCAATAATTTATGATCAATTTAATAGATTTAATAATTGCTAAATAAAATATTCGATCCCCAGTTCGTGCAAACCATTATTGGAATTTATAATTGGGTAGTTTCCTGGGTCAAAAATACACTATTTAGATATATATCCCACAAACCTTAAATCTAATACAATATGGAACACCAGCATCCATCTTCTGTTTTATGTCCTCAGGAGACAAACTCCTACATCGGTTATCATATTTAGGTATCCTTTGTGACTTCACTGCATCTCTGCGTAATATGTTCAGTCTGCGCTCAGTACAGAAACATTTGTATGCTGAACCATTGTCGAGGAGTTTTGTTATATGCTCTCTGAAAAAAATTGCCCACAATATATTCCTCATTATCAGCATTTAACGCGTTGAGTACCGTCATTATAGACACAATTAAAGAACAATAGGTAACGGTCACCAGTGACCGCTCAGTCTTTGACAGTTTAAATACAATATGTCAACTGTATTGAAGCTATTGAAGTATGGAAATATACATTATTAAATTCCTAAATATTTAGACAAATTTAAAAAACTGAAGTTCTCAGTTTGAACTGCCTGTTCGAAGATATGTGAGTGCGCGATCATCTCGGGATTGGCTGAACCGATTTTGATGCAGTTTTCAGAGTGTGTTATACTTAGAAGAAGGTTTTAGAATGTATATAAGTAACAGACTTCAAAAAAGGAGAAGAAGACGATTTTTTTAAATGTATTTTCGAATTGTTTTTGTTTGTTGTTATACCCAACTTTCGGATCAGAACAACTAATTATCATACATATCACCTTTATCAGATACTAATCAGAAAAATAAAATTATTAATGAAACTTTACTTACTGATAAATATTCAACCTTTCGCTCTGTATATAAGGACCATATTTCCCATTTATTCCTGGTCCTTCGTTACATTCAATGCCCGCCCATTGCAAATCATTCACCAATGCATCTACAGAACCTTCTACTTTCCTTGTCTGATCTGTGTCTTCTATACGTAGTATAAAGGTTCCATTGCGAGATTTAGCAAACAAATAGTTGTACAAAGCAGTGCGTAAACCTCCTAAATGCAAATAGCCTGTAGGACTCGGCGCAAATCTAACTCTTGGACTTTCCGTACTAATACACTTAAGTAAATAACGGTTTGGTACGTAAATTAAACGCTTCACTAATATAGAACACATTTCTACTAGTTTATTCACATAATACGATTTTTATCACAAAAATTACTATACACTATGAATTATTTGTAGGTTATGTTTTGCGATCAGCTGTTTCATTTATTGACAATATCGTTTAGAAATTCGGTTTGGATATAAAATGTTTTTGTGTCTTTCAAATTATTATTTTTATGGATTTATGTTTATGTGACAAAAAAGTATTAATCTAATAGCTTAAAATTGTATATTTGTGAAATTGAATAAAACTTCTATATATGTAACTTCAGAACGAAAATACTATTGTCTATGATTATGTTGTGGTACGATGTTGCTATTTTATAATTTGGATTTTTCCTCGATGCCAAGGTATTTCAGATGGTGTATCAAATCTTTTCACCTAAAACAACAAAAATATGCCTTCTGTCATGCAAAACTCAACAATGAATCTGTTTCGAATAAAGTTCTTGTTAGAATTAGTATTCTTATTGGTATTTCAAAGAGACTATCTTTGTTGAAAAATTAAAAACTAATTATAAGGTTAACTAATATTTTTATCCGAGGCACATCAAAAATATTGAAATTGGGAATTTTAATTTGATGTACAACAACATTAGAAAGTTGTCTATGATTGTTATTTCACTTTGGTTCCGATGTCGAAATAACAGTGAAAGTCATTAGAAACAATAAAAAATTCACGAAAATGGTGAGTAATCGTGTTAAAATATTCATCAAACTCAATAAAGATGAAACTGTACTATATCCATGAATTAATTTTGATACGTAAAATTAATGACAGGTAAGCACTAATAAGGTTATAAATATGACGTTCTTACGATTCTCTTACAGAATAAATTAAAATCGTCACAGAGAGACAAAGTTAAAAAGTTCGTCGCTTTTACACAGACGAGTGAGAGCACGGCAATATACTGTTTGTCTCAAAATGACTGGAAACTGGACTTGGCGAGCGACAACTACTTTCAGAACCCAGAGGCTTACTACAAGGACCCCGTCAAGGCGTCAGTGGACAGAAAGAAGCTCGACCAACTGTTTACAAAGTACAAAGACCAACAGGAGAACGACAAGATCACTGTTGATGGTGTTATGAAGTTTTTAGAAGACCTTAATTTAAGTCCTGAGTCGATTTTAGTTCTTATTATAGCATGGAAGTGTAAAGCAGCTGTGCAGTGTGAGTTCACGAAGGAAGAGTTCATGACTGGTCTCATAGAGCTTGGAGTGGATAGCATAGACAAATTAAAAGGAAAGTTAGCAACTCTGGAGACAGAAATAAAAGATCAAAATAAATTCAAAGACTTTTATCATTTTACATTCAATTATGCTAAGAATCCGGGACAAAAAGGTCTAGAATTGGACATGGCGATAGCCTATTGGAATATTGTGCTCCGTGGGAGGTTTAAGTTCCTAGATGCTTGGTGTAAATTTCTCACGGTATGTATAAATACAACTTTACCTCTACCTATTAAATTATATTAAGATAAGGTGTGATTAGACAGAGATATGCTTCCCATAACTGTAGAAAATGCATTTTAGATCTAACTTTACACCTTGTCAGTTACATTCTTATATATATCTCCTCCATTCATTAATTTACTAAGATAACAAATGTCTATTTTAAAACTATTCAATATATGCCAAGTTGGCACCTGTAATGCAACAGAATGAGACATCAAAACTATTTGAGACTACCTCTTTGATTTAGTTATTAAGTATAACTACAGCATGATGACTCAGGTTTAAAGATGAAATTCCTCCTGTAAAATGTGGTACTAACATAGAGTTGAACACCACCCCATTCCATAGGTACCAGGTAGACTATGAAACCACTACTAAAGTCACAACATATCAAAATAAAAGGCAGTACAAAGTTTTGCCAGTCACCCAGTTTATTACAGTTTATAAACTACCCAATTTTATTGGTACAGTGACCTTATTCCTATTTATAAATAATGCAAATCTTTTTTCTAGATATCAGTACTTGATATTTTTGGCATCAGTTCTAGATTATCTAACATTGGGGTCAGTTTAGTTCACACATTTCACAAACATTCCAGGCCTCATATAATCATCTTATAAACATTGCATTTTAAATGTTTTGCTATTCATTCACCACAGAGGTATGCAGGAGGTGCATGTAATTATGTTACACCCACATATCACATGCTATAAACCTATTTTTTATTGTAATAAAAAAATAAAAAAATCATTAATTATATGCCCATCTTGAGAAGCAAATCTGTAGCTTTACACTAAAATCTCATTTATATGTTACTCATCCAAAGAGGTAGTCTCACCTTACAATTAATACAATGTTGAGGTAAGTAAGTAGTAGTAGTAATGTAAGGTATTGTCGGTTAAATAGAAAAAAATTCGTAATTCAGAAAGGCAAAATTTACAATACAAATGTTTGGAGTTTTTAATTTGAATTGAATGAAATTAACAATTGCGCCATCTAGTGAACTTGGCGTGAACTATTTAAAGTGTGTGTTTACAATAATCTTGTTAGTAGACTTATTTTATGTAATATTGCTTTGCAGGAGCACCATAAAAGATCCATACCAAAAGACACATGGAATCTACTGTTAGACTTCGCGACACAGATAGACGATGGCATGAGCAACTACGACGCGGAGGGCGCGTGGCCAGTGCTCATAGACGACTTCGTGGAGTGGTGCCAGAAGCAGGGTCTGACCGCGGACGCGGTTAAAGCGATGGAGCCGGCGTCCGGCTAGCTGAGCTCGCACAGGCGAGAGACGGCGCGCGAGCACGTACACGAGGCCCCCTTGGCCCGATCCAAGATGGCCGCCTGCTGCACGTATGCCGCGCTGCTGCTCTCCCGCTTCGTGCTCTACGGTCTCGAGCTGTGTACAGTCGAGTGGCTCGCTATCCTAATAGTTTTCGAGTTGTGTAGCTGACTAAATCGTGACGTGACAAGAGTGGACACTGCTGGGAATTTCATTTGGCATCGTGAATTTGGAATCTGGAACTCTAGTCGGCGAGGGTCATTCGGAAACATGTTCGAGTTTCAATAGTTTGTAGTTATGGTTATGATCGAGAGTGTTTACTAAGTGCAGTCAAATGTAGAATGTTTCTTGCCAATTGAAATTTCCATGTATAAGTTAATCTTCACTCAACTGTATATAGCTCTCGTACTTTCGTCCGCTAGGTAAATTCTTGTTGACCTGTCTTAACAAACTAAATGAATAGGATGAGTTTTTTGTTCAATAAACGAAAGTTATTTATAATAATAAGAATTTTTCAAAAAATATTTCAGAATTTTTCAACTTGGTTTTCTTACGTTATAGAATAGTATGCCGTTTAAAATTTAAGATGTAAATATGTATATACACATTAATGATATTACATTTTTTTAATTATAACAAGCTTAGATTTTTCTGTTTTAGTTTTTTTAGCTTCCCAATTTCGACAAGATGAATGTAATGCTGATATATTGATTTCAATAATAATAATTATATTAACTCAATTATTTGCTCATTTATTTGATGTTGGAATTGTCACTAAGTGTTATATGCCTAAAGTGAATTTATTTTTATTTAATTAATATCGGGTGGAGTGCAATTTTGACACGAATAAATGTGCAATAAGGTTCAATTTCCTATCAGTTTCTATTCTGGATTGTTGTATGTTAATCTTGAAGTAACAATTACATGGGCAACACATTGGAAGAATGTTTATGCATTGTATAGAGGTTGACAGTAGATTCCAAGTCATATAGAAGGTAATTAAGGTCTAGTTCACTTTAAAATATAATATAGAGCTGTGCACATCACAGGAGGGTTGCTACCTCAGAGGAATTGACCATTAACTAAGTAGTTTGACGATAGATACACGTAAAGAAGTGACTAGATTTAACTGACAATGGTATAAGAACATTTGTACTGTGAAAACGACCAATAATCGTTATTGAATCAGTTATAATATAAATCGGAACCACTGAAGAGCTATTCAAATGATAACACCAAGTAGTTTTGATTAGGTACTTAACATATATCATTTAATGTGCAGGTAATGTTGGTCAACCTTTTATCCAATTTCTTTATTCGACTTTCAACTTTATTATTTCCCAATAAAGTTGAAAATCAAATGAAGAAAAACCTGTAGGAGTATCTTGACCAGCTGGCCACTGCTTACCTGCCTACTTGATATAGATGACACATATTCTAAAACTAGAAATTACGATACGTTCTTAATACATAATATCGTAGATATTGTACCAATCAAAAGGGTCAAACCAAATGCAGCTACAAAGTAGTGGCATAGATATTTTCATTTAATATAAAACGTTCTATTTTATCCAAAAACTTCTAATACAAAATTAATTTCTATGAACCTCGTAATATGAGTCATTTTGCTCTGCCCAACAGCACTTGGTTTCGTACACCATTGCTACAAAGTGACCTGTGCATAGTTAAGCCTTAAATTATATTTCGTAGATTCTATTTTCGGGTGACGCGTAGCTATGTAAATACTCTGACTGGTATGAAAGTCGAATCTTAGATTGTGACTTCAAAATCAGCTCTTATTACCGTGTAATAAAGTTGAATTGGGGTTACAACTTAGTATAAAAACTTTTAGAACCATTCTATTAGGCTATTGCACTTGCTTTGCTAAGTTTTTGGATTAACACGATCTTATTCGACAGAAGCGCCATCTAGTAAAAGCAAAAATGGTAGGAAACTCCATTAAGTTTTACAAAAGAAAAATACTCAAATTATATAATAGTGACGTCATGCCTAAAAATTTTGCCTCGAAACTGCATTTGGTGCTGACCAAAACCTACTTCCCTTTGTCTCCTAGACTTAACGATTTTAACCTTAATTAATATTTTCATTAATAAGGTTCAAGTTGGTGTGTAGAAACTTTTTAATATTACAATATGAGCGTGATCTGTGATTATTGAATTTCAGGACTTAATTGTAATGCTGTCCTTACAAATATAGTATTAAACCGTATTTTAAATATTGAAGCCGATTGTCCTTTATACTAACTGAACTTCTTTGTGAGAAAAAGAGAGCAATAATACAATTCATATTGCTTTCTCTTTCTGGTGTTTTTATACGTTTAGATTGTGCACAAGACAGTCGGTTATGATCGAACAAAACTTTTCTACGATTATCCCTTTTTATGGTGTCCTGAGGCTTTAGTACAAAGTTTGTTTTACGTTTAATTAAAGTAATCGTAATGAGTACGCGTTCGGCACTCTGATTAGTTGCTTCATTGGTGCCGACCAATCAGAGGCCTTAGTACGGATTTGTTTTACGTTAAAAGTAATCGAAACGAGACTGCCTTGCCCACTCCGATTGGTTAGGTTCATTGGAGTTCATTGGAGCCGGCCAATCAGAGTGCCGAACGCATACTCGTTTCGAATACTTTAACCTCTCGCGCGTCTCGTACATGTGTTTAATAGAAAGTGAATGTACTATACTGTTCAATCAAATAAAGAACGGGTTGCAACTTGAAAATATAGGTACATTACACAAAAAGTTTCCAATCGGTGCAAGTCACTCTCGTACACCCGTCTGTACAATTGCGGCGATGGGCACTCCACTCTCTCGTACACCAAATTCGTACTAAAGCCTCTGAGGGTAGTTGTCCATTGGTCGAATTGTAAAACGTAACTGTCTACATATTGTCGTGGTATAACTACAATACCGTTATTGTTTTGAAGACCACAGAAAACCGCGGCAAAAATTTAAAACGATGGAATTTTTCGATGAAAACATTATAGACCTATTTGAGATTTCCAAAACAGATCTATTCATTTTTTTGTTAATAATATAGCATTAAAAGATGATTTCGACCAGATATTGGATAATCGGTATTTTAGTTATTAGTACCACGACAGTATAACCAAAATATTATTGTCATCCATTCTACTAAAATGCTCGACTATCCTCCACCATAAATTAAGAAGAAAATAACAAGAATTCTAAATAACATGTTGTATGGTTTGTGCCTAAAATAAAGAATAACTTTGTCAGTTTAAATATATAATAAATAATTAATTCATTTGAATAATCAGACTAGAAAAATGCTGTTGCTTCTAGCGTAACATAAAAAAAATATTGAAATCATATTATTAAAAGTGTTTGGTACTTAGTTTTTAATGTACAAAAGATAAAATTGATGTATTGAGTATTACATTAAATTGTTAAATAAATAGTTTATATTTTCTTCTGGTGCGTAATATACCCCATTTACTTTGTATACTATTTGTGTGTAATCTTATACTATTAATGTAAAGCTAAATCGTTTGTTTGAATGCTACTTCTATGCTAGAATTATGTCGCGGAGAACCTAACGGGTTACCGGGGCTCCGGCTCGACGTGCAGGAGAAGGAACGGGGTAGTTTTAGTCAGTAAGAGTGACACTCCCTCCCGCCACACCCAGGCGGGAGCAGTCATTCGATGATTTTCTCCCCTTAAATTATCTAAGGGACTACTGGTCCGATTTTAAAAATTCTTTTTGTGTTGGATAGGCCATTTATTGAGGAATGCTATAGGCTAAAACATCACGCTACAATCAATAAGAGCCAAGCAAAGCTAGTGAAACCGCACGAAAGTAGCCAGTATACAAATCATCACGCCTTTTATCCCCGAAGGGGTAGGCGGAGGTGCACATTATGCCATTGTACAATGTAACACCCGCTTCTCACTATTAAAAGGACGATATACTAAATAAAAGGACAATTATACCTACATGTATTGTCGCGGAGAACCTAACGGGTTACCGGGGCTCCAGCTCGACGTGCAGGAGACTGCACGGAGTGGTTTTTAGTCAGTAAGAGTCTGACACTCCCTCATGCCTCGCCCGGGCGGCAGCAGCAAATCGATGATTTTCCCTCCCTAAAAAAAACCTACATGTATTGTTCACTTCGTAAACCAAGAGCTTGGTATGCTCTTACGCAATGAAATAAAATAATTCGTTTTTTTAATAAATGATACAAAATCTACATGGAATATTTAATGATTTTTAAACACATGATTTTTTTTTTTTTTTTTTTTTTTTTTTTTTTTTTTTTTTTTTAAAATTTAAAATACAAAGATTTAGGAATACAAAGGCGTGAATTTTCATTCTTCCACATATTATAATTATTACATACTAGCGACCCGCCCCGGCTTCGCACGGGTGCAATATGCATATATTGTACATACAAACCTTCCTTAAGAATCACTCTATCTATTAAAAAAAACCGCATCAAAATCCGTTGCGTAGTTTTAAAGATCTAAGCATACATACGGACATACAGCGAAAGTGACTTTGTTTTATACTATGTATTGATTATTCCACCTCAGTCAAAAGCTTAAAATAATACCTGCCATTTTAGAACAATAAGTCGGCAAACAAAACACCAACCTCCGACCAAAATATATAAAAATATCCTTGTCTTTGAGTCCTTGAGTTTTTATTTAGAGTAGTCAATGTATGTTTCTTTTTTATTTACGTTTTTAATATTTCATCTTTAGTGTTGATTTCGTGCTGTTTAATTTCTGCAACGTTTCTTTTATTCCTCTTTGGCAACCGAACGTTTCAATTTACGCAATTAACAATCGGAATGTGTGTGACATTTATGTATGTTGTCATTGTCAAAATAAATTGTCAATCTGATATTTTGCGAGGATTCGATTTTTGTTGTGTAGACCGTATTACAATTACGTAAAAAATGTCTTATCGCTTTGGCACCTACATTAAAGAACTAAGAATTCATTTATGCCAAACAAGCAAACATTCTGAAGGTGTGAGGTAAGAATTTTGATTACATAAACAGTTTCTTAACCTCAAACAAGTTAATAGAAATAATAATTAATTTTCAGGAACTTCATACAAAAGTACTATGTTAACCTTAAAAAAGACAACCCTGGCTTCCCAATATTGATTCGTGAGTGCAGCGGTGTACAGCCGCGAATCTGGGCTCGATATGGTAAGTCTAATCCTAACGACAATACAAACCTTTAATATAAACCTTTAAGTACTCATCTGTCTCAATCAGATTGTGTTCTCATTATATCTACCCAACACACTATTGTTTCTAATCTGTACCCTGCTAGGAACTAAAAATTCGACCCAAGTTGACCCACTGACCGAAATCTGCAGTTTAAAATGACTTGCAACTGGCTATAAGATGGAATCAGTTGTCAACAATAAACACATTGAAAATATGTGATTGTTACTGAAGTTTTAAAGTTACGTCTTATGAAGCTTGATATTAGTAAGGCATAATTAATATAATAAATACTTCTAGGTAAAGGATGTGAAACATGCCATTCGCTCGTAGACATGAATCCTGAACAAGTGTTGTCGTTGGTCAGAGGCTTGGCCCGTTGAAGTTTATTATATTTATTACCTTCCAGTATGGCATATTATATTTCTAATAATTCTAATTTTGTAGAAAGTATAGAATAACATTACTATTTGAATGTTGACTGATACCAATTTCAGCAGTTACAATATTATATGAATTAATGTAGGCTGAAAGTATTTGAATCTAATTAGCACTTGTTTAATAGTTTATACTTTTGAATTTTTTGTATTATTGCATTAAAATAACTACATTTTAGTTATGTATGTTGATTAGTTTTCATTTTGAGTAACTTATTCAGCAGCAGCATTAAGCCAATTCATTGATTCGTCTAATACAAATATTTATTTTCAGAAAAAGGAGCAGAACGCAGCATGTCTCTCACTGACCAGAACGCTGATAATGTTCTCTCAGCTGTCAAACAGCTAGTAAAATAAATTATGTTGTTATATTATATTTATGTTAATAAAAATAATTAGTTAATAGCAAATGGTGTTATTTGTTGTTCCTCTATGACTTACACTTTTTCCATTAAAGTTACATTTATCTCTGAAGTTTTTTCTTTTCTGTCTCGGAACTTACAATAGGCAAAATGTGAATGTTGTTAAACTAAACATGCTTTTCTGCCTTGTCTACCACTTCTAGTCATAGGAGGTGTGGTACAATCTTTACATATTAGGTATTTTCTAAATCTGAAACAACACTATTATTGACTTCAGACTATGTGTCATTTGGCATATTTTCTACAGAAAACAAATGAAACAAAAAGTTCTTATACAAATAATTTATTGCTTAAAATCATCTACATCTACCAGACTTTGTAAATAAACAACTTTACTTATAAATGTAGATGGCATCTATGTTACAATGATTGCACTATTGACAGAAATTAAACTAAAAAAATATCAACAAACAATGATTACTGCAGATAATTGCAGTACATATGTAAATTATGGCAGTTGTTGTGTAATTGGGATAGTTATTCTACATGACAACACCTTAGGTATGAAATTCTAAAATAGCACTTGATGTGATAGTTTAACCCTGATTGCATTGTTTTATTATCTATTTAACTAATCGCTTTTACAAGCGTTTTCTGACAAACAAATCAAAATGGCTCCCCAAAAATTGGCGGTAAAATCTGTAAAGAGAAGTTACTCTATGATTAGGACAAGGCAGTTTCTTATAAATCCATGAAACATCGTTTAAAAATATTTCTCTCTTAGACTACTTTTATTTTGTAGGGCATTATTGTCTATACCTATTACAATAATTATTGAATGATGGCATATTTTACTACCCGTAAACTCTTTATTGCTCACCATGCAATACAAATCTAACAAATTAAGTACTAGGTATATAAAAAATGGTATTAATTGACTAAAAATCACTTAATAATTGATCATAAGATTTGTGTAACTCGATTTTTGTACTTTCGTTTTTGAATTATTTATTTTAACCTTACATAAACTACAAAATATTATTTTCTTTTTAGAATTCAGTTTGGAGTAAGTTTCTTATCTATTATCCATGAAAAATATCTTGTAAGTACTACATACAAAAATATGTGTATTTCTATACAATACGTTGAAGAAATAGGGAACTTTTTCATGCTCTGGTAGTACTTATTTAAACTAAGTAAATTATTATCTTATAGGCTCGTTTCCAGGACTGGTAGGAAGCCCAATGTTTGAGTATACATTCTACAAATATTGAAGAGTGTGAGAAGCAACAGTATTTTATTTTTTGACTCAAAAGTACACACTCTTAGAACATGTTAAAGGTATCGAATGGCAACTACTACATACCATGTTCTGTAAATAAAAAAAAAACTATAGGTACCACTCATATTTGAATTTAAAATCAACTTAGAATAAAGTTCAAAACGCTAAAATCTTGCACACACGATTGATAGATTTTTTTTTCATGTTTTTTTAACAACTCTGGAACGGCGGTAATCCAAACAGTTCTGGCTGGAATTTTGATAGGCTCGGTAGTACGATGGTGGCGTGTGTTGTTAGCTTTTTATCTAAGTGTGGGTCTGGCACCATGACAGTTTGCATGCCTGCCTTCACGCCCGCTGTGACACCGTGAGGAGAGTCTTCAAATACTAGACACTGGAATTAAAGTAAAAAATAATTAATCAGGTAAAAAAAAATCGTGTACGTTCTTGTCTTGAATAAGTCAGTTCTTTCAATGGGTTTCGGTTGAAATTTTCGATGCCGCTGGCCAAGTGTGAAGATTATACACAACAAATAGTATGTTACGTATGTACCTATGTTATAAAGCCTCGTATCTACACAAGTGAATCTCAACATGTAGGTACGGCAACGCTGCACAACAGCGCGCGACGTTGCCAGCTGCCGTGCAACTGACGCGCGGCTTGTCGTTTGTTTTAGTGCATCCTTAGTTGTTCGTATCCTCGTATCTCTCCTCCTCCATCCTGCTCTCATACCACCTCCATCGTAAACAAATGTTCCACGTCAACATTCAACAAGTTGCGAAACATGTTGAGCAACATGTCGCGCGTCAAATGTTGCCTAGTGGATACGAGGCTTTATTCGTTCATTCGTGGCTAAACCAGATAATCGTCTGGTCTGGCCAAAGCATTAATAGTTTGAATTACAAACTAGGACATAACAAGAGAGCAAGATTCCATCAATTTGACCAGTTTAGTCTATTGCAGCATCTCCTTGAACTCAATCAAGTGATTTATGTCTCTAATTCGCATCGCACGTTTTTCTCAATAACACGCTAACACTAGCTAAGATTAGATTAATGGTGCAGTCAAGCTGACTGTTTCATTTGTATTGTTGATTTGGTATTTTCGACTTTAATGTGATAGTGGTAGGGGATATTTTCATTTTAGGTATTGCAGTTAGGTATTTGGTGGCAGTAGAGTTAATTTTCTACTCACTAATTATTGAAAAGGATGTATAAAATAGGATTTTAAGTGGATTTGACGCGTAGTTTTTAGTTTTGCATATACCTACTTAGAAATACTTAATTTTAATCAACTTAAGATGCCTTAAAGTCTCATATACAGGCAGTCAAGTAGTTAGGCCCGAATCGAGAAATAAGAACTAATTAGGTGTTTTTGATTGATCTTTTCTCATGCTTAGGCCCCCTACTCCCAAGTATGCAACCATAAGATTGGAGTATTCAGACTTATGACTTGACTGACGGACTGACTGACAGACTATTATTTATTTTGTATTCGTTGACGTTTCAAAAGTACCAAACTATGGTTTAATTGAAATAAATGCTTTGACTTTGACTTTGATTTTATGAACAACTTTAAAGATCATTTAATTATAGGTAACAAGCCAGCTATTATGCATTAATCAATCAAACAATACCGACTCAACAGATTGTATCTGAGCATAATTAAAAAATCAATGACTGGAAAAAAAATTGTATTGTAACTTTCGTGAGACATCCTTACTTCCTTATCCTTACTAGTAATATTATAAATCGGAAAGTGAGTTTGTTTGTTGGTTTGTTTGTTCCGCTTTCACGCCGTAACTACTAAACCGATTGCTTTGAATTTTTGCAGACGTAAAGTTAGAAGTCCGAAATAAATAATAGGGTACTTTTTATCCCGGAAAAATTTGATATTCCCGAGGGAAAACAAAAGTATTGGTATAGATAGCGCTGTGTGAATTGGTATATGTCACATAGGCTACTTTTTATCCTTTTGTGACGCGAGCGAAGCCGCGGGCAAAAGCTAGTACTAAATAAATTGTTATGGTTTCGGCGACTGTCGCCGAGTCGCGGGTCGCGAAATGCTGCTCATGAATATGAGCCCCTAGCATGGCTTGAAACTAGTCGAGTTCTTAGTCAAATTATTACGTGAGTAAGCCGAAAACATAGTAATTTATGGAATAAAATTTGTTACTGTTGCGTCGCCTGTCAGTGAAAAGTTATTTATTGCTACTTTTTCTAACTAGACGAATCGCCTACGTACCTACGCTAGTTGCAATGTGCTAAAAGTAGTTCTATTGAGGATGTGGTGTTGGTGGGCGTAGCACGGTAGAAGTGTAAACAGTCACTGTTATGAAACTAGTATCGACTTCAAACGAAGTCGCATACTGAATGTTATAGGCTGCTGAACGTACGATATTTAATATTTAGAGTAGGTACAAAGTACAGCTACCTGTTCAACTTTATTTGTTTTTTAATTTTATCCTGATCAACTTTATTTGTTGTTGTAAAGTTGAAGATGTAATGAGAGGATTTTGCGGAATAGTTGTATGTCTGTACCTACATTAGCAATTCAAGTTGCTTTCATTTCCAAGTTACGTATTAATTGAGAATGTTTTTTAAAAACCTTTTAATACTTTTGCTCGACTGCCTCGTTGGCCGAGTGGTCGCAAGTGCAACTGCCGGGTAAGGGGGCTCAAGTTCGAGTCCCGGGACGGGCAAAGTATTAATGGGTTTTTAAAAAAATCTCAGTAGTAGCATGGAGTCTGGAATTGTACCCGGTATATGGCAATAGCCTCACCCCCTATTACATGGTGTAGGTATATATATATTATTATTATTATATTTATTTATGTTCGTATCTAAAATATATTATCATAATCTTCTATTTTCTCAATTAAATCGTTGCTTGCTTCTTGCTCCTACCACTCACTCTTCTCTGCATCACCCAAAGGTCAGACTGGGAGAAAATGCCTGCGGCATTAAGTCCACCTTGTGTACACTTTGTGCATGAAGCGTTAATAAATAAAAAATAATAAATAAATACATGGGACTCATAACATAAATAGTGAAAAGTGGGTGTTACCTACATTGTAAAGTGGCATAATGTGCACCTCTGCCTACCCCCTCGGGGATAAAAAGCGTGATGTTATGTTATGTTATTAATATTTTTCTCAATTTGGTAATCCAGACAGAAACTCAGGCACTGCAGTGAAATTTATCACATTTCGAACAATAACGAGGTAGTCGATTCTCTATTACTCTTTCAATAAAATATCTTCAACAAATCAATCTAAACAAATACAGATAGGTATCAAGAAATCCTCTCAACATACCTTAGACGGATGAGGTTTATCAGGGAACCTGTCAGCGGCCACCAGAAATATATCAGGGTGTGGTTTCCCATACTTCACTTCCTTATCCGTACTCCCCATCACCATATGATGGAAATAAGAGAACAATTCTTTGTATTGAGCTATTTTGGTCTCCACTGATCGAGCGCTGGAAGAAGTTGCTAAGGCGAAGGGAACTTTGGTTGCGTGGAGATGTCGTATTAACCTTTCTGCACCTGTAAATGGAGATCAAGCTGACTTTAACAAATAAAAAAGTTTAAGAGGATTGAAGCTGGTAATAGAAGAAGAAGAAATGCATGTCCCATATAATGGTTTACTTACGTAACTGTTCGAGGTTGCTCGATTAGTTTCAAGAAAATCAGGGGCCTATAATCATGAGCCGCATGAGTGATGCGGCGCGAGCGTCATGCTATGAACTAGTCGAGTTACCTTCCCAAACGTTTATTTAAGTTGGTCTAGATACACTTTTAGAGGTTTTTTGAGTGCTAGCATTGATCTTGAGAATGATAGTTTCAATTCGCAAGTTGGGTAGGTATAGCATTATTGTATTTGTCGATTTTAAGTAATTGGTTACTGTTAGGATGGTTTTTAGGTTTATTGTATGTAAATTTTCATAGATTTCAATTTCTTTTTTATAAATAGGTATAAGTATTATAAAAGACTGCCTCGTTAGTCGAGTGGTCGCAAGTGCGACTGCCGGGCTAGGGGTCTCGGGTTCGATTCCCGGGTCGGGCATAAAAGGCGTGATGTTATATTATAAAAAACCCATAACTAAAAAATATCGTTCCATACCCCTATGGGAGACGTCGCGGAGAACCTAACGGGTAACCGGGGCTCCGGCTCGACGTGCAGGAGAAGGAACGGGGTGGTTATTAGTCAGTAAGAGTCTGACACTCCCTCTCGCCTCACCTAGGCGGGATTCGATGATTATTTCCCCCCTTAAAAAAACCCCTATGGGAGACAGACGTGAAGTTATGTATGTATGTATATTGTATGTATGCAATAACTACAAGTCTATGTCATTTACTTACAAACTAACAATTAACTATTTGTTAGAGAACCATTTTATCGATATTGCATTCAACGGTAGCTCACAAGATAACGTTATCTACTTTAGAGAATACTGTCTAAATAATCAAAAGATATTATATCATTTTGTGCAATACATGTATGTTATCTTTTAATACATATGAGAGAAAAAATATAATTTCAGAGTAAACTGTATTTTGCTTTGATGTTCCAGACATAGCTTTAACGCATTCACTGCCCAATGATTTTCTCCAGTGCCCGAATTATAAGACATAACTACATTGTCCCGCACGCACTATTGCGTTCAATGTTCTTACGGCTCTTACCGTGTGCCCGAAACTCGGCTAGCAGAACTTTTTTTTAAATATATTTGACCTCGGCTAGCTTAATTTTTTTTTAAATATATGGGCCGACATTTGACCACTATCTCGCCTGGTGCTAAGCGATGATGCGGTCTACGATTGAGCACGTCGACCCATAAGCATCACTCGGGCCTTGAAGACACCTAGGCTATACCCTTTCACTTTGGCAAGATGTTATACACTACCCTCATACAATATTATGGTGCTTTTTCTATCGCTTCGAGTAAGTAGTCTGATGAAAACCCCCAACCTCATCTACCTCTAGTTTAATTTTATGATATTGACATGAAAAAGTTTTTTTTATAATAGAATTTTTGCTGTAATATCCTATTCTTTGTTTAATGCAGCCTCTAATTAAGGCTACACTATACAATGTTAAAATATGTAAAAAATATATCATGTATTTTGGTGTATGCTTTGTTGGTTGCGCTTAAATAACAAATTTAAAAATGCGGTATGTTTAGGGAGTCTATTCTAGACAACTAAAAATTATAAGACGCTAGTCATCCTAGTAAACGATTACATAATGTAACTCATTGTTATCAATTCTAATTTAAATTGTCTGAACCTTGGACATGAACTTCGTAACAACAAATAAATGTGGAGTGATGCCAAGTATTGCAATGTATTGCTTTTTATTATTTGCAATATATTTCCTGTATTTTATTAAAACTATAACATTATTTGTAAAATAAATATTAGGTAGAAACTCCTATTTGTTTATCATTATTATCTGTTTATTTGGAACCTCAAGATCTGTCTTCTTCTTTTCAAACCTCTTTCCACAATTTTAATTTTGACGATACAATAAATTATTCCCTTTGCAAATTAACTTACCATCTAACAAAGGTGCTCCAGCCAACATAGTATCTCCTAGAACGAGCAACTGGTCTCTAAACTCTGTGGGTGTGATCGGTAACTTCAGTTCTTTGCACAGAATCTCTGATAGCCTCTGCTCCGTCCCACCTAGTATCTTCATCATCAACTCATCTGTGTATTTGTGGCCATAGTTTGCACATAACTGTGTTATCATTTTCTTATACACTAGTTCCGTGTCTGAAAAAAGAATGCAACCTCCTTAGTTTTTATTGTATGTTTTTTCATATAGAAACATAACATGCGCCTTGCCAACCCTTGAATAGCCTATTTGCTCAATTCTTGAAGAACCCCATGGAGGAAATTCCTCTGAAACCGAACTGTGTGATGTTTTCACACAGTTCGGTTTTGGACTCCATTTATTTTGGGCCAATACTTAATTATGTAGGGTTTTTTTAAAGTGTACCTCTTCATTTTACAGAGTGATCATCATCATCACAGACATAATTACATCATTTGTTACAGGTCTATCTAGACCTTGAAACATTTAGATTTCATTTGCCATTCATTATTTTATACCGCTGTAGTGGGAAACTAGATAAAGGCTTTGAAGAAAACTATAGGCATAATGTACAGTCACTATTTTATTCAATACCTGTAGCTATTTAAAATACATAAATAAGACACAATTGGGTAGTTTTCTGGGTCAAAAAAAAATATTTTGATTTTTCAGTCCAATTAAATATTGAAAAATAGTTACACTTTCATTCATTGATTTGCTGATATACTTAATTTTCGATTTATTCTAGCATTGTTTTTAGATATAAGTGTGCTTTTTGACGCGAAAATATGATGACGTCGTAAGATGGTATTTCGTACAAAATTCATAGAAAAGTAGTTATCGTTTTTGATGTTTCGATAAAAGTGTTGAATTTAACTAGTTGTTAACTACCATATTACAAACTTATCTTACAGTTCAATTATGAACAAAGTACCTCATTCATTCCTGAAATAGAATTTCAGAATTTTTTATCACATGCACAGTAATTTAGTATGATAATTTATTCACAAGTTATGTCATAGGTAGATTGTTCAATGTTTATGATCTCATTCTAACACAATTATAATATGTATTTAGTGAGGGTTTACCCGGCATTATTGTCTAGCAATAATGCCGGGTAAACTGTATCCGTTAATTATTTTTTAGAATATTTTGTTTTTTTTATTAGTTATAAACTAAACTGTTAAAAAATGGTATATTTACTGGTCAATATATTGTTCTCTTTTTTGCTACTAGTTTTTGAAATAAGAACTAACAACAGATAGTTAAAAAAACAACAAAATAAATTACTATAATAAAATGGCTGGGCAACCGGCTGCCGTGCAACGTGTCGCGGGTTCGATTCCCGCACGGAACAACACTTTGTGTGATCCACAAATTGTTGTTTCGGATGGTCCGATAGATGTAATTCACATGTTTCACCGGCCGAGTACGGCATGTTAGTGATGATGTGGTCAATACAAGAAGTGTGTCGAGTCGGAGTATTTATCTTTAAGGTCAAGTTATAATTCAAAAGAATGTCTTTTAGTATTGTAGCATTTTTGTTCGTAGTAAGGGTATTAATGTTAAGATCTCCAACGAGTATAATGTTTTTGTTTTTACCGTCACTTAAATTATGTAATAAAACCTCGAGTTTATTAAAAAATATAGTGATGTTCGCGTTAGGTGTCCTGTATAAACATACAACAATACAATTATAAATGGGTATTTCTATGCCACAACATTCGAATATTTTTCCTATTGCTATATCTGTACATAACTGTATTATCTTGTATTCTAAGAACTGTTTGATCAAAATACAAACTCCTCCTCTCTTTTCAGTCTTTCGTGAGTATGAAGTTGCAAGTATGAACTCGTTAATGCATATATTTAATTCATTATTATTACTAATAAATGTCTCTGAAAAACATAATATATCTATCTCTTTATTACTGTCTTTAAATTCAGTTAAACATATTTCAATCATAGAAAGTTTGTTTAACAACCCTGCAATGTTTTGGTGCAATAGTCGTACTGTATGGTTAGAAGTTTCAACCCTAACATTATTTTTTCTTTTAGTACTCTTATTTTTAGGGACGAAAAAACTGTTTCCGGTCCGAACTGACAGGGCTTTCTGAATATGTATATTAATTTATTATGTAAAAGTATGACCGCGTATGTAACCTTGCGATTCAATAACATTGACGATTGGCACGAAGGTCGCATTCTACTCACCAAGCAGAAGTCCATCCATGTCGAAAATGCAATGTGTAACTTTTTTATAATTAGGCGTCGAATAAAATCTCGCGCCTATCACTCGTGACACACTTTTTAACAAATAAACCCTCATGGTTACCGGTTATGTAAAATTAACAATAATAAATATATCGATTACTTCTTTCAGTAAACTATCAAACACTTTAATACAATGACTAATTCAACTTTCACTTAATTTAAAATATTATTTTTCTAAACAAAGATAAAAACAAACGTGTGTTCATCGATTGAATAACATTTCGTCTATTTTGATTTGATTGCCCAAATTGACATTAGACTTTTGACATTGATGACTGACATCAATTTACGTCAAAATGCATTATCTATTAGCCAATAGTAGAAGCGACTACGCAAGAAAGTTATCTTCTATTGGTGGTAAGATCTACGGATTCGGAAATGTGACCAATAGAAGTTGTCCCAAAATATTGCAAGCTTACAAAAGAAAATTGTATGTTGCTAATTAATTACAAAACAAAATAATAGTTTATTAAAAAGTTTCACTACAAATTGGAAAGATTAAAAGACCTCAATTAATTAACGCGTAATGACGATTTTTATCAAACGTTATCAGAATTCATAATTAATATTGTGATACTGGCAATACCACCGCCGCTTTGCCACTTGCCAGTGGTCCGCTTTCGGCTCACTTCAGTCGGCCAGTGCAGTTGAGCTGCGACCATCATGGTTCGCAGTTGAATCGTCGCGAGTCGTGCGTATGGCGTGTGTAGTACCACAATTTAAGTTTAAATTAAAAATATTTAACTTGTATTTAAATTTATGAACCATTTATAAAAGTGTATCCCGTTTCACACTACTAAATACATTCGTTAGCGAACATGTCTGTGAAAGAGTGTTGTTGTGATAAACTGTCGCCTAACAAAAAATCGATTTTTGGATTGAGAATGCGGAGCCAAATACTGTATTTACTGTTGGGTTCTTGTTTATTGGCCGTGGCTTCCGCCGCTGAGCCCGAGGGAACTTGTGCAAATGTGAAAACCATCTTCGAAAAGAATGGAATGTTGACGGCGGTAGACCTACAAGCACAGCCGAACTCAGGTGAGAATCACGCGCTATTTCACAGCTGAATGTGATAATGATAAACGATAATGCTTGATACGTTATTTGATTATATTGCTTTATGTCATAACAAACCAGAATTCATAAAACTGGGCACCATCTTAGTACATAGTTACCTAAGTATGTAGAACTTCTGTATTTACCGCCTCAAACATTACCATTTAGTATGTTGGCTTGGTAGATTATTGTAGAATAGACAAAAGTAAACATGAATTAAAATGAAATCTATTTAATTTATAGGTTAAATAACACACTTAATCGCAATAACACTTCTCAAGAGCTCGGCGTCCGAAAATAAATTGACAAAGCAAAACATGTGTAGTCTATCAGTTCGCGTTATCACAACAATGAAGTGATAACCACGATTAGGTACTTATATCTTATGTGAGCAAGTACCTTCCGTGAAGCTACGACCAAGATTTCCCCACCTTCGAAACGGAATTGTAAACGTAAATATAGGTGTTACACAGATTGATAAACTTCTATTGTAATCTGGATCTGCGATAAAATTGATAGTTATTAATTTTTATTTATAATTCATAAATTACTTTTTGATTATCGTAAACAATATCCAGCCTGTTTTTCCCCGAATGATTGGTAGAAGATGCAAAACACATTTTTGGCTGACTTGAAAACACTAGAAAGTCAAAAGTCAATCTAGCTTTAGTCTAGATGTGTCTTACTCACGTTACAAAATAATTAACAAAAGCTAAATGTGCCTTACTGTTACTGCATTTTTGCAGCTTTTACCGAACGAATTTTTTGAAGATGTGAAAAGATAGCAAAGCTCGGAAGTACAAAGCACAAAGCGGCATCTACCTGAAAAAAGTAAACATCTAGATAATACTATTTAAATATGGCCCTAAAAGATTAAAGGCAAAAGAATACGCAAATTTTTACACGAATTTGGGTACCTAATTACACCATTCTAAACTTTTTGTTAACACACCGTAATGAAAAGAAAGAGGAACACCGAGGAACAGAAGCTATTGTTATGTTGTTTAAAGAATAAAGACTTAAAATCCTTTTGCGTTGAACTCATTTTTACCTGATCAGGAACAGGTCAAGACAAGTTAGCAACTTTTTTTACAAGGCAATAATCCAAGAAATTTCTGCAGCCGACTAATTTAACTTTGTGTTCATTACTTTTTTAATGAGACTACATAATATACATACGTAAAAGGCAACACTGTATCATTTTGTGTGCTGAAAAAGTAGAAGCATATCTTCTTTCTTACGTATGTATGGTATAGGTAGGACTTATGTCTACATAAACATCATTAAAACTAGACAAGCGAATGTAGTTATTAGTATCTTATGTAATGATGCGTAACAAAATAGGCAAGTGCATAACTGTTGAAATCCTCAATCACGAACCAAGTAGAAGGTATATAAAGCAGTTGCATATAACGTTAGTAAATATTAACATAATGAAAAGATCCAATGATGTTTAATTTTACATTAACGCGAATTCAACCTTGGAGAAACCGTAATCGTCTACCAGAGTAAACATCTTCCAAAACAATTTGTAATGTGTAGGTGGTTGATACAGTAGGCGGAGTTGAGAAATGCTTACATTGTAACACGCGTTACAATATGACCATTTCTGCGAAGCAAACTTTAGTTCAAATATGAAGATCTCAGGAGAATATCGCATCTTAAAGTGACAGTGATAGAGTTCCAATTCGAACGAATACGATGTCAATGGCAGAAAACATTTAAGTTAAAAGCCAGGCTGCAAGTAAGCAGGTAATGGCACGCGGAATCAGCGTGGGCGAATACGCTGCGGAAGGTTCAAAAGCGATTTGACATGGTTTTCAGACGATTATTCGGATTTATGAAAGCTTTATTTACCAAAGCTACTTACACAAAGCTTCTTTTAAAATATGACTTGTGGGTTTTACTGATATCTGTTGTCAATTGATTTCGGTGATAATTAAACATGCATTTTAATGAATACAGTTACTTTGAAGTTACCGCTTCAATCAAATTAAGAAACAATATATGACTTGTGAGATTAAGGAAATATGGCATTGAATTTAAGAAATAATATTTTATGAGGACGGCTCAAGATATCGAGACATCGATTACGTTTCCAAAAATGCTTTATGGTTGGACCGGCTCGACGGCACCATTCAGTCATTACATCTTCCTTTTTTGGCATTCGAAAGCATGTTGATCGTCCGCACTCTTTGGAATAATCGCCGACGAATTATTCCGTGAAAATTTACAGTCACGGACACGGTATTTGGCACGAGCATTTCTTTGGTGCCTTCCCACGAATGTCGTTAACACGTAAAGCTACCGATTTAAACATCCAAATGATAATTATTGTAACAACTCAAACCAGCTAACCATTCAGCGAGCGCAAATAATAACACATTGTTTGATTTAATGAGTTTCCACCACGCACACTTCTAACCGGCGAGAGCATTTTCCGCCAAGTGCTTTGAAGTTTAACCCATCCCATTCTGTGTAGTAAATTAATATATTATTAATGAACCACTGCGCCACTCCCAGCGCATTACCCGTGAAACTACTACAGCCCGATATCGGCCTAATTGGTGTTTGTGCAGTCATAAACGATCAGGAATAAGCTTTAACAACTCTGGCCTATGCAAACTTATTAAATATAATTATAATTCGCCACAGTATAATCATTTATAGGCAAATTTTATTCGTCGCCAATGGTAATTCAATGGAAGCGGCAAGATCAGGCGATACGAGTTCTTGCTATTAAGATAGACTGCGTTTTAAGAGCGCAGGTTGACGCCACGTTTCCCAATAAGGCTTACTGTCTGATAGATCGTCCGGCATCGCCGTAGTATCAGGTTATACAAAGTATTTTGCATAGGTTGCCGGTTGTTTAGCATGCAATACTCGATCGCCGGGACTTCTAACGGAGACTTGTCGCGACAACTACCGGCACTTCTACAAGACCTATCTATGATTTAGATATTCAAATCCTTAAGGAATTTGAAAGCGAGTTAGATGTTTCACTTATGTGCAGAAAAGATGACAATTAATTTAGGATGCCAATCATTTTCTTCATATTTTCACTTTGTCATTCATCATCTTAGATTTCTCTGCGTTCGTGCTAACGTGAGCTAGTGTCTGTGCCAAATAATCCTTGTTTAAGGTTGAAGCATCGGATCGTAAATAAAAGAACAAAAATAATAAACTGCATCACTCAAAATATAACTGACGTCAGAGAATGTTACTTCATCTTGTAAAGAATAAAAAGAGTATAAAATATTCTGGGTACAGGGAATCTCAGTGAGATTAAGGTCAGTAGCCTCTTATTTCCTTAAATAAATATACCTTCGCCGCTCTGTAGAATGTCATAAGCAATATAAGGATGGACATCGTTATCATGGGTTGGGGTATCCTGTTTGGTTAGGTACTTATTTTATAAAGTAACCTATCTATCAAAGCTGTCGCAGGAGTTAAAGATAACGAACACCGACTGCGGGAAAGTCCTACGAACTAAAGTATCTAACTTGGACTTTGATTAAAGTAAACCCTTCAAATTCAACAAAATTATATAAAGTTATGTAATTGGAAAACAAATACGTATTGTAAAAGGCAGTTTCATAATTTATGACCAATTAAGAATCATGATATAAATCTTTTATATTTACGAGCGGCTCAAGTATAATCATTAAGTCATGAAAGCTCTTGTATTTTTACGGAAACATAAAAAAATAAAATATAAATCATAAGAAATGCTTCAATAAGTAAATATTTGGTATTACGAAATCGGCAAAAACTCTTAATGTGTGCCTTCAATTTAAAATAAGTGCTTCAACTAATTTTATTTTGCAATGAACAAAATCTATTAAGCTCGTAAAGTAAGCAGAGGGAATTGAAACGGGTGTTCGCTTTTTTATTTCCCTTAGAAAGCTACCGAGGAACTCTCACCTATCTGAATGTTTGGAATGACATACAAAATTGTCCAGTGGGAGGACTGGTTGACAAGCCGACTGAGCATTGAGTAAACACGGGTGTAAGGTCGACAACCCACGAGCTGGCTTTAGCCTTATTGATTACAGTCCGTACAGTGATTACTAATTTATCAGTTACTTCACCGGGAAAATTTTGTTTCAAAATTTTGTGATAAAATTGTTTCTATACACTTAAAAAAGTAGTATCTTAACAGTGTCAACTTTTAGGTGGATGTGCCGAGATGCTCAACATTTATGTTTGTCATAAACGTATACTTTATTCAAATTAATTACAGCCATATATTTCTGTATGTATAATGTAAATCACGTGCGGCAAGTACATAAACATACAAATTACCAGTTTAAAAGACAAAATAAATCGTTAAAAACGTACCCTGTTGGCGAATTAGCACATACCTGAAGAAGAAATCCCATTATGCCGACATTATTCGGGCTTTCACAGTGTACCCTTTCAATCAAACTGGTTGAATGGTGCTCCATCAGTCACAGGGAATGTCAGACCTTTTATGTCGCGTTCATAACCTCTTATTCTGTAATTAGGCTCGGATAGGGGAAACAGGATGCCGCGTATTAAGTTTTTGTAGATTTTTATTATTTGTACATATTTTCGATTTGATTTGAGATCTCCTTTATCAACGATATTGAATTTGATTCGTTTATTTTTAAGGGGCGGTCTTCTTCTTTGAGAAAATGCTACGTGTTTGAGAGTAATTGCTTTATATTTAAGGTTTTTGTGATAAACGGGTTCATCTAATGTCCTTATTAACTGTCAAACACCAAGCGGTCACCGGTGACAGCAACCTATTGTTCTATAATTGTGTCTATAATGACGGTACTTGACGAGTTAAATTTAGGGATGCAAATATAAACGCTAACTTATAAAAGTGGCATGGCATCGTCCCATAACCCCGCAGGATATCGGAAAGACATGAATAGAATATTATAGATCGTTAAATTCTGTTACGCGATGACCAAAGCATGCCGAAACTATGGAGTTATGGAGGTCGAATATGA